GCCTGCTGAGAGACGAGCCACGTTGGCATTAAAAGCTTGGCAGAATGCAGGAAGAGTCCCTGGGCCTTGGTTTTTGATGGACCCTTCTATAATTCCAGGCTGTTAGATGTTAATCTTGGTACCTAAATATCTGGGAGATGTCCTCCAAGAAAATGGGGATCTCTCTGTAAATTAAATCAAAGTTCCAATGCTTTAAAAAAAAAAACAGTTAGACAAAGATGTCACTAGATCAGGGGTAGGCAACCTTGGTTCTTTTATGACTCGTGGACTTCAACTCCCAGAATTCCTGAGTCATCCATGCTTGGCTGACTCAGGAATTCTGAGAGTTGAAGTCCACGAGTCATAAAAGAGCCAAGGTTGCCTACCCCTGCATTAGATGCTCGCTTCCCATTGGGAAGGTTGAGAGTTCAGTCCTAGGTAGTGGTGTTTTGCTTGTGTGCAATTGATAGATTGGACTCCAGATTTACGATTTTAACATAGATTTTATTTGTTAGGTGTTATTTTATTCTAGAATGTTTAACTGGCTGTTTCTTCAGTGTTTTTAACTTATTCTGGTCCTTAACTGTAATAAACATTGACTTGAAACTTAGGTGGCAGCAGATGTTTCTCTCCTAGGGCGCAAAGATAAAATATCTGCTGCAAACTCTGTACGGCGTCAGGAAGGGCATCCGGCCAGTAAATGCTGAGCTCAATCCAGTTGCCCTGACTTTATCCCGAAGTAAGGGTTGTAAAAAGGGAGTTGCCTCTCTTAAAGAATCAATAAATATTGCTTTCGGGGCAGAAAGGACTGACAGAGTTGAGGATGAAATAATATTTGACTACCCCAAAGGTGCTTTTTCACGAGGCAACTAGATTTTAAACGCATGGCACAACATAGGAGAACAAGCCCATCAGGACAAGATTCAGCAGTCCATCTGCATTTAAAAGACAACAGCCATTCTTTCGAAGACAGAAAAATCTACATTTTGGACAGAGAGGATCACTGCTTTGAAAGAAGGGTCAAAGAGGCCATTTATATCAAAATTGAACAGCCCTCTCTCAACAAGAGAGGGAGGGATACAATATCATCTATCTCCAGTCTATAACACAGTCCTTTTAACAGTTCCAAGAAGGCTCCACACACATTTGCACCACTCAGGTGACCCTGAGGACACAAATAAACATCCAAGTGGCCTCAATGACTCTCTAAAAGAATGCAAATGACCAGCTGTCTGCAAGGAGTATAAATCCTTCCCTTCCCCACCATCTAGTCAGAGCTGAAGAAGCTTCTTGGATGAGAAGCGAACCGTCTTCAGAGAAAAACAAGAAAGTCCAGTTGCCTCCTGACTATGACTATGACTGTGACTATGACCTGGATGACTGAGAATCTCCATAGACAATATTTGACTACACGTAGTCCTCGACTTTCAACCACAGTCGACACCAGAATTTCCGTTGCTAAGCAAGGTAGTTGTTAAGGGAGTTGCATCTGATTTTTATGACCTTTTTGCCATAGTTGTTAAGGAAATCCCTGCAGTTGTTAAGCGAATCACATGGTCGTTCAGTGAATCCAGCTTCCTCCTTTGACTTTGCTTGTTGGAAGACAGCTGGGAAGGTCCCAAATGGTGATCACATGACCCTGGGACACTGCAACCCTCATAAATGCATGGCAGTTGCCAACTGCCCAATGTGGATCACGTGACTGTGGGGGTGCTGCAACGGTTGTAAGTACAAGCACCGGTCGTGATTGATAATAAGGTGACCAACCGTCCTCCTTTAGGGAGGACAGTCTTCCTTTTGTAAGTTCTGTCCTCCCTCGAAAAGTGTCCTCTTACATGTCCTCCTTTTCAATATTTGAAGACTAATCTGCAGAGCTTTTTTTTCCTCATAGAACCCTCAGAATGGCGTTCCGGCACCTTTTTTGGGTGGTTGTTTTTCAGCTTTTGCATGAGCTGTGCTACTCCCGCTATTGGCTTTCGAAAGCCAATAGGAATTGCTGCTGAGTGCGCCAAAACACCCGGCTGGTGTTTCTTTTATTTACGATATTTTTTTCTTCAATTTATTTGTGTCCTCCTTTTCATTGTAAAAATGTTGGTCACCTTACTGATAGGTCACTTTTTTCAGGACCGTTGTAACTTTGAATGGTCGCTAAACGAATCACTAAGTGAAGGACTACCTGTAATTGACACAAATTTTAATAATGCAGCTTAATGATGGTGGTGAGGTTTATTAGCTTTGGATCTAGCACAACTGTTCTCACCTGGAAGTCTAGTATCCCAGGAGATAAATGAGGATTGAAAAAAAAAATAAACTTATCTTTCCTTAAAAAAGAATTACACATTGTGTAAAGCTGACACTCACAACGGTGGGAGTGTTTTAACGTGATGCCACTGAACTGCCAGCCTGGCATGCTGTTGTTATTGTAAATTACGTAAGATGTAAATTGTGAAAATTAAACAGTGACTTCATTGCCCTTTGTGTGTTGTTTATATGTGGTGTCCTGCAACCCGAAAATTATTTGAAAGGTGCCTCCAGAGCAAAAAGATTAAGAATGGCCTATGCATCATATGAAATCAGCTATTGTAATCGATCAGCCAAAGGGTTATGTATGGATCCAGTCAATTGTTTATTCAATAAAACCACACTTGGCACAGTGAGGTGAAGCAAGCCAGCAGCTCCACTAAACTGCTGAAGAAATAAATTTCTGCGATTTCATTTCATTCTAATATCCCATTTGGACCACACACACCTTTTTTCTTTTAAACTTTTATTTTATTCAAAAGATTAAAATACGAAATCCAAAGGAAAAATAATTGAACAAAAGAAAACTAGATAAGAACATTAAATAAAGTGAATTAAAAGGACCCTCCATATTATCTTTCTTAGCTGAATATTGACAAATATATCACAGCAATAACTTGCCCCCCTCCTTGCAAAATGGGTCAACATTTTATAAACTTCTACATCTACTTGCAACCAGACTTGACCTGCCATACATTGTATATATGAAGAACTAATAGTCAATGGGTTAATCAACAGCTAGGTTTGGACCATGCAAGGTTTGGACCATCCTCAAAACGCAGACCAGCGTTTCATGACCTTAGAAAATTTAAGATGTATGGATGTCAACTCCCAGAATTCCCCAGCCAGCCAGGTTCGAGAAACACTGGTTTAGCATGTAAATCTCCTTAATCCCTTCTCTTTCTATACTCCTACCAACAATGCTGTGAACTAATTAGACCAGACATGTCAAACACAAGGCCTGGGGGGGGGGCTGGATGCAGCCCGCGAAGTGGTTTCATGTGGCCCGCAAAGCCATCCTGGAAAACAGTGAGGGAACGGCCTCCGCTGCCTTGGCCCTGGCCCAGGCCAGCCGGGAGCCAATGTACAATTTTGTGGTGGCCATCTTGGCATTTGCCCCAGTGGACCATGCCTTGGCACTTGCTCCGGTCCCACCACCTTCTGCCAGAGACCGTCAGATCTGTCCCACTCCTGCCCAGGCCCCCATAGGCACCCTTGACGCGAATGATGTAGAATTGGCCACGCCCACCCAGTAGGCCACATCCACTCCATCCACGCCCACCCAGTAGGCTGCACCCATTCTGGCCACACCCACCTGCCCCCCCCCCCAGGGCAATGCTGATGCGGGCCTCAGTGAAATTGAGTTTGACACCCCTGAATTAGACAATCCCAGAGGTGGCTCCCACTCCTAATCTAATGCTGTAAAAGTGTGCACCATATGGGTTTTGTTGTTTCAAGAGATGCTGCAATGGTCATAAGTGTGGAAAAACAGTCAAAAGTCATTTTTTTCAGTGTCCTTGTAACTTCAAACAGTCACTAACCAAATGATTGTAAGTCGAAGATTACCTATATCCTTTTCTACAAACTCAAAAGAGTATCTGAACTCAGTGTGGCTTTTTGGAAGGAAAAGCAACAGAGGGACGTTGGGTGAATCCAAGCTTGATTGAAGAATCTGTCTCACAAGGTTAGAAGGAAAAGTGCATTTCTGAATTTCCCAGTTGACATTGAGCTTTTTCGAGTAATTTAAATCAGGGCTTTTCAATCTTTTCACCCATTGTACCACCTGTAGGATATGGGAATATCCGAGTACCACCAGTCGCCTAGCAAGGTGTCAAAAACTTGATGACTAAAAAAAAAAAGGGAAAAAAGTGATAAAGTACATGTAGTCCTCGACTTACAACAGTTCACTTAATGACTGTTTGAAGTTACAATGGCACTGAAAAAAGTGCCCCCCAAACCACAGCCAAGCAAGACACCTGCCTGCCCACCCAGCAGCGCTCTTCCTCCTATCCGAGGTTTTCATTGTTGTGAGCATTTCTGTTGAGGATTGGCAGCGGGGTGGGATGGGGGGGTGTTTGGTTTTTATTCTCCCCCCCCCCGTCTGCTAGGTGGTTGTAGCAGGTTTTGGTCACTTCACATGACCCTGGGACACTGACCGTCATAAATATGAATCAGTTGCCAAGCATCTGAATGTAAATCACAAGACCCTGAAGATGCTGCAACATTCCAGCTGATCGGCGCTTCTTCTGGGCTCAGCAGAAGCGCCAGGATCAGCGCCGAGTTCCAGCTGGAGCCTGGCGCTAATCCTGGTGCTTCCACTGAGCCCTGACAGCCCTGCAGCTCCAGCCATCTCTCGCTCAGGCTCGTGTGGTGCTGCCACCGGTTCAGCTCATTCCCCTCCCCCGCTGCCACTTTTCTAGGCTGGTCACGTACCACCTGCCAGGTGCCAATGTGCCACAGGTGGTGCCCGTACCACTGGTTGAAAAGCCCTGATTTAAATCTTCACAGCAAAAGCAATTAAACAGTTTAGTTTAACCTCCTGCCCTCTAAATAGCAAAGCTTTTGATATATTTGGGGAATTTTTCTAAGCTTGCCCTTCTGGGCTTGATAGAGCAAGAAATGATGGAAAAGATTTAAAAACAACGCTTTGGCTTTTTCTCCCTCTTGTTTTCTCATTTTGAATTCTCTTTCTAACTCCTTTGTTGCCGGACTCTTTGCAGGCAAGCTTCTGGTCCTGACTGCAGCCACGGAGAAAACAGAGGGCTACCGGCGCTTTCTACAAACCACCAAATATTTCAACTACACTGTCAAGGTGCGTACTTTCTATCATATTTAAAAAAAAAGAGAGGGTGGGGTGGGTGGGAACATAGCCAAATAGAAGGGTTAACCTGACCTCTGCTTTTGCTGCCTTTTTTTGCAATATGTAGGGTACTTTTGCAGAACAGGTCAAAGAAAGCTAGCCTAGGATCCACAGCAGCTGAGAATTCTGGGAGTTGTAGTCCTGAAAGGTCAAGGCCACCTTAAGCACGGAAGGGTTTAATTTTCCAGAATGGAGGAAAATGCAGTATTTTTGGAGAAGCCATTGGGTAACCTGTCATGTCCCTGAGCAGGAGCATCTGAATTTCAAGCTAGTAGAGGGAATTAAAAAAAAAAATCTAAGAAAATAATAGAATAACACAGTGCTGGGTTGCATTAACAGAGGAATAGAATCAAGTTCATGTGAAGTATTAATACCACTTTACAATGCCTTGGTAAGGCCACACTTGGAATACTGCATCCAGTTTTGGTCACCACGATGTAAAAAAGATGCTGAGACTCTAGAAAGAGTACAGAGAAGAGCAACAAAGATGATCAGGGGACTGGAGGCTAAAGCATATAAGGAAAGGTTGATGGAATTGGGTAGGTCTAGTTTAATGAAGAGAAGGACCAGGGGGAACATGATAGCAGTGTTCCAATATCTCAGGGGTTGCCACAAAGAAGAGGGAGTCAAGCTATTCTCAAAGCGCCTGAAGGCAGGACAAGAAGCAACGGATGGAAACTAAGCAAGGAGAGAAGCAACCTAGAACTAAGGAGAAACTTCCTGACAGTTAGAATTATTAACCAGTGGAACAACCAGCCTCCAGAAGCGGTGAATGCTCCAACACTGGAAGTTTTTAAGAAGAGACTGGACAGCCATTTGTCTGAAATGGTGTAGGGTTTCCTGCTTGAGCAGGGGGTTGGACTAGATGACCTCCAAGGTCCCTTCCAACTTTATTATTATTATTATTATTATTATTATTATTATTATTATTATTATTATTATTATTATTATTATTTGAAGTCTTCTAGTCTAATCCCTTGCTCAAGCAGGAGACCCTATACTATTCCATACAAGTGATTGTCCAATCTCTTCTTAAAAACCTCCAGTGTTGGAGCATCCACAATTTCTGGAGGCAAGTTGTTCCACTGATTAATTGTCTTCACTGTCAGGAAATTTTTCCTCAGTTCTTAGTTGCTTCTCTCCTTGATTAGTTTCCATCCATTGCTTCTTGTGCTGCCTTCAGATGCTTTGGAGAATAGGTTGAGTTGCCTGTGGCAGCCGATCCCTCACCTGTCTCACCAGTTGTCCTAATATTTCTTCAAGACTTTAGGGCTCGGTGAAGATTGGAAAGGAGGTGATGTTGCCCGGACAGTCGGTGGAGGTCAGAAGGTCCGATGGCTGAAGGCTGAAATGAAGAAATACGCAAACGAAGAGGACCTTATTGTCATGTTTGTGGACAGGTTAGGCTGATCAGTTTGGGGCTGGATCCATAAGAAAAGAGTGTGCAAAATGGCCACTAGGTTCTGACTTGGCTTCCTTTTTCCAATCAGCAACCGAGTCAGATCATTTAAAAACAATTTATTAGAGTATTCTGACAATGTGGCACCTGCCTATGAAAAGGGGGAACTTGGAAAAATGCTTTACATTTACTTTTACAGGTAGCACAACAAAGAGCTTCAAAATAAAAATTGAGCGGTTTAGAATTAACCATGTGTCCAGTTACATCATAAGAATTAAAGCATCTGATAATACATGAGCATAGCCCTAGAAAAGAGCATTATATTTTGAATAAAAGTAAAAGAAACATTTGTAAAGGAAACACAACAGAATGGGTATGGGTTAGATCCCTTCTCAGCGCTTCCCAAGGTTGGGCGTGAATATTTGCTTTGTTCGTGCAAGTTTAAAAACAACTAAAAATGAAACTTTCATTTGCAACACATCAAATACTCCCTTACCAGTCCTGGTCTCTAAGAGGAAGGCTTTTCTCGAAGGTTACCGCTTATTATGGCAATATTATTAGCAATACATTTGAAAAAGCACATTTAAAACACCAGAAAATCTTTTTCTGGTCAGCCAGTGCAACAGTATACTAAAACCATACTGCAAGGATTACACAATCCATCCTGTGTGGATCTCAAGCTACAGCCTGCAAATTGAGCCTAGCCCAGGGTGGGTTCTCCATCTGCCTATTCCAGGGATAGGCAACCTTGGTTCTTTTATGACTCGTGGACTTCAACTCCCAGAATTCCTAAGCCAGCCATGCTGAGGGGAAAGGAAGAGGTTTCCAAGCTGAGCCATGCTGGCTCAGGAATTCTGGGAGTTGAAGTCCACGAGTCATAAAAGGGCCAAGTTTGAAGACCCCTGAGATAGAGCTTAGAACAGGGGTAGGCGACCTTGGCTCTTTTATGACTGGTAGACTTCAACTCCCAGAATTCCTGAGCCAGCCATGCTGAGGGGAAAGAAAGAGGTTTCCAAGCTGAGCCATGCTGGCTCAGGAATTCTGGGAGTTGAAGTCCACGAGTCATAAAAGGGCCAAGTTTGAAGACCCCTGAGATAGAGCTTAGAACAGGGGTAGGCGACCTTGGCTCTTTTATGACTGGTAGACTTCAACTCCCAGAATTCCTGAGCCAGCCATGCTGAGGGGAAAGGGAGAGGTTTCCAAGCTGAGCCATGCTGGCTCAGGAATTCTGGGAGTTGAAGTCCACCAGTCATAAAAGAGCCAAGGTTGCCTCCCCCTGGCCTGTTCCATCCATCCCCACGGTTTATAGAGAGGAAAACCATTGTTTCAAGGACTAACTGAGAACTCGCCTTCTCCTTTCCATCGCAGCTATGATGTGATCCTGGCCGGAAGTCCGATTGAACTTCTTTGGAAGTTCCTGCAGTTTAAGAGCAACCTGGTCTTCTCAGCAGAAATTTTCTGCTGGCCGGAGTGGTCCCTGGCTGAAAAATATCCCCCGGTCACTTTTGGAAAGCGCTTCTTAAATTCTGGAGGTAAAAGGCTTGGGATGGCACAGGGTGATGGTGGAACTCGCAACTCCTTACAAGAAGACCCTGTTTTGCACCAATACAGATGTGGTGGGATTTCAACTCTGGGACTGAAGGACACATTTTGAAACAGTACAAGTAGTCCTCAACTGGGAATTCTGGGAGACAACAACAACAACAACAACAACAATAATAATGATAATGATAAAGTTGGAAGGGACCTTGGAGGTCATCTAGTCCAACCCCCTGCTCAGGCAGGAAACCCTATACCATTTCGGACAAATGGCTGTCCAGTCTCTTCTTAAAAACTTCCAGTGTTGGAGCATTCACCGCATCTGGAGGCAGGTTGTTCCACTGGTTAATTGTTCTAACTGCCAGGAAGTTTCTCCTTAGTTCTAGGTTGTTTCTCTCCTTCATTAGTTTCCATCCATTGCTTCTTGTCCTCCCTTCAGGCGCTTCGGAGAATAGCTTGTCTCCCTCTTCTTTGTGGCAGCCCCTGAAGTTGAAGTTCACCCCTCTTAAAATGGCCGAGGTTAAGAAACACCGGATTAAAACTTTGATACTTTGCTGCCCATTTCTCTCTGCCAACCAAACATAGGAGACTCTGTTCGACTTACAACAACAATTGAGCCCAACATTTTGGTTGCTAAGCGAGATGGTGGTTAAGTTGCCCCATTTTGCAACCTTTCTTGCCACAGTTGTTAAGTGAATCACTCCAGATGTTATATTAATATCACGTTTGTTAAGTGAATCTGGCTTCCCCATGGCCTTTTTTTTTTTTTTTTGTCAGAATGTTGCAAAAGGGAATCACATCACCCCGGAACACTGCAACTGTCGTAAATACATGCCAGTTGCCAAGTGTCCAAATTTTGATCATGTGACCTCAGGCATGCTGCAACAGTCATTAGTGGGAAAAACGGTCAAAAGTCACTTTTTTCGGTGCCGGTGTAACTTCGAACAGTTACTATGTGAATGGTTGTAAGTCAAGGACTATCTATATTGACTTTAGCAAGAACTTGGGGAAAGTAGATGGGATGAACATCAGTTGGCCATAGCTGTGGAAGTCCAGCAGAGGATACAATGATGGAAACTATAGTTTGATTCTTGCAACTCCTTGCAGGTAGTCCTCATTTAGCAACAGCCTCATTTAGCAACCATTCACAGTTACAAGGGCGATGAAGAGTAATCTTGCCACCAATCCTCGCATTTGTAACTTTTGCAAAGTCTGTGAAACAAGGAAAGCTGAAATCAGATTACAAGGACAGTTGCTGTTTCACATAACAACTACTTTGTTTAATGAGTGAAGTTCCAGTCCCAATTGCAGTTGCAAAATGAGGACTATCTGTAAATCAAAATCAAAGAAAACATTTGTGTGTGAACCAGCTTCTTAGAAGACCTTGGAGGTTTGTTCTGCTTCTCTTACAATTCCTGCCATCGTTTTTTCAAGCTGAGGCCAGCTGTTCACCCTCTGGATACTGGCAAGATTGTATAAGCAGCCATATGGTCTAGAAACTTGTATTTACTCTTCTTTTTTTTTAAGCAGAGCATACCAAAGTGTTCATCTGCAGTGCCAGATTATGGGTTGGTGTAGCATGGATAGAGAATACAGAATGCCCTGGAGAATTCCTTAGCTCTGATTTCCTTTGATGTCTATCAAAAAACACAATTTTCATGTCTTGGCTTGTCATGGACAGGGTAATCACCATTTTGATAGATCACAAGTAATTGTAGATCAGGTGAAATGGCACCTGATGATTTAGAGAGCTGGCAGTTTTGTGAGCTAAATTCCAATTCTCCAAAGTGTAGTATTTTATAAGCGCTTGTTTAAGATTTAATTTTTTTAAAGTTTCTAGTCCTTAACACTATCCTGTTATGCAGCACCTAAAAAGCACATTGCATTTCTGCTTTCCAGGATTCATTGGCTATGCTCCGGTGATCAACCGGATTGTCCAGCTGTGGAAGTACAAGGATGATGATGATGACCAGCTGTTTTACACACGCATTTACTTGGATCCTGCCTTGCGTGTGAGTCCTCACTTGTGTGGTTTTTGTAGCCATTTCTCACAGTTACAGTCTGCCTCTGTTAAAAATATTTGGGCTTCACTCCCCACTCACTAAAATGGCTTATGCAACTCCGGCATTGTCACTCCAACAGCGCTGTTCACACAGAGGGCTTTACTACATCTATGTAGGGACTGGAGCTTGCTTAAAACTGTCCCGGCCTTGCTTAAAATTAAGCCAAGCCTGGTCAGTTTCCCTCCTTTTCCCCTCTAGCCTCCAGCATATTGAGTAGAAGAGAAAGAGTGACTGGGGAAAAGGGCCGCTCTAGGATGGAACTCATTGCCAAAGCAATACAGATCGCCCTGCCCACATTTTGGTCAACTGCAGGGGCTGAGCCATGTTTACTGTTACCTTCCCTGGCCAATAGGGAAGAAGGTAGTGATGTCATGAAGTCTTGCCAGTAATCTGGTGTATGGGGATTCATGGGATATCCAATTCCTGCTAGAGGGGAAGGGAACTCTGTTATGACCAGTTGCTTAGCAACCATTTGAAATTACGATGGAGCTCCCCAGAGTACTTATGACCCATTTCCAAAGTTTCAGTGGCTTTCTCTCTCTCACACACACACACACTCTCTCTCTCTCTCTCTCTCTCTCTCTCTCTCTCTCTCTCTCTCTCTCTCTCTCTCTCTCTCTCTCTCTCACACACACACACACACACACACACACACACACACACACGACCAGATTTCAGGCACTTTAATGGCCGTTCGCAAGGTCCTGTAGCCACATAGAATAGAATTCTTTATTGGCCAAGTATGATTGGACACACAAAGAATTTGTCTCCGGTGCATAAGTGTACCAGAGTATCAGTGTACATACAAGCAGTAAGTGATAAATCATAATCATAGTCATTGTAAAAATTCATTCATCATAAATCATAAGATACAACACTTAGTGATAGTCATGGGATACTAAATATGCAATCAACATAAATATACTAGGATACTAAATAGAACAATAAAAACCATAAGATACAAGCAGCAAAGTTATAGTCATAAGTAGATAAGGAGATAAGTAATAGGAAAAATGAGAAGAATAATGATAATACAGGCTTACTAGCTGGTTTGACAGCAGAGTGATGGCATGGGGGGAAAAAATTGTCCTTGTGTCCAGTTGTTCTGGCATGCAATGCCCCATAACATGACCATATTTGAACATGACCATATTTTAACAATGTTTTTGTCAAAAACTGGCATTTACTTCTTGTTTTTTAGCAAAACTTGTCCATAATGCACAGTTGGTTCACTTAACAATCACCACAAAAAAGGTCATAAAAATCAGGTTGGTCACATGGGTGACCTGCTTTATAACTGTCATGACTTATGGCCATAATGGGCAGACTCCATTATGGTTGTAAGTTGAGGACTTATCCCCAAAATGGTACTTTTGACCCAGGTAATATGAGGAAGTTTGCTTGGAATAGGGCTATCTGTTTGTGGGAGCAGGACCAACCTCCCCAAAAACTGAAATGCATGTCATTTAATGCAATATACAATTAGCAGAATCTAAAATATGATGCGAAAGTCAAGTTACATAGTGATAAATGGGCTGAGTTTCTAAACTGAGTTTCAGGTTTTCCCACCCCATTTTGGAAGAAGCAGCTCTAGCCAGGAAGAATTTTACAAAATACCAGCAACTAAGTCTGGATCTACAACTCACCACCTTGTTGAGCTACAGTTCAGTGTCCCTCCCAAGGATCTGGTTTGTAACTTGAGCATGGACGGTTTTGTAGAAGGATGAGAAGAATAATGCATGATATGAGGAAAAGACTCTGATCTTAGTTCCTCACTGTTGTGTTTGTAGGAAAAATACGGAATCACCTTGGATCACACGTCCAAAATCTTCCAGAATCTGAATGGGGCCATTGGTAAGTGAGTGGTGGTCCTAATGAGGAGAATCAACAAAAATATGTCTAGCAGGGGAGGAAAGGCTTGAAGGAGCAGGATGGGAGCAGGCGGGAAATTTTGTGACCTGGAGATCTCAAAACAGAAGACTTGTCGCCTTGACAAACATCAGTGTAGTTTAAAACTAACTTGGAGCAGAATGAAGGAGACCAGGGATGTCTGGCAATTTAGTCAAAACAACTATTCTAATGGCTTGAAACTATCATCAACCTCGTGTATGTGCCTACAACATCGCAATGCACATACCAAAAGGTGGAGTTTAGTGTTGGTGCGGTTTGTGGCTTGTTTTATCATTTGCACCCAGATATACACCACAGACATCTCTGGTTAAGGCTATTATGATTTAATGGGCTTGAAGAACGTCTACTACAAATGACTAGTTTAATAACAGAATAATCAGAGAAGCCATTGAGATAGAAAAATGCCCACACAGCATGAATAAACTAGACGATACCTCCCACCTACCAGCCATTTGGAAACCTGCCCTTATTGATAAACGAGTCCCTAACACAAAGAATGACACCAGACCCACACTCACGAAAACCACACAGGATGTCACCACCACACATCCACGCAAAAAGCAAACCCAAACCCACACCAATGATGAAGCACGACCACAAACTAGAAGCCAGACCACAGCTGCATCATTAGCCATTTTAAACCACTCCAATCCATACATGAAGCAAACTGACACCCACCATGAAAATGAGGCATGACCACGAACGCGAAGCCAAACAACAGCAATGCAGCTCACCATCTTACATCCCCCTGCAACTCAGACTAACCTGAGCAAAACAAAGCCCCCACCCAAACAGAACACTCCCCCATCCAATCCGAGCACAGCCAACCCCCCATCCAATCAGAGCACAGCCAAGCTCCTAACCAATCAGAACACACCTCCACCCAATCAGAACACAACCAACTCTCACCCAATCAGTTCATACCCCCACTGGCAGTTAAAAGGAAGAAACAGCTACGATCACACATTGCTCCTAGAAGCACGAAGCCGAAAACACCAGCCTGAAGATGACGAATGGGACTTTGTCAAAACGTCTCCAAGACACTTCCAATTTGATGTGGGAGAAAACTCGAATAACCAAAGACCTACATATATATATATATATATATATATATATATATATATATATGTATGTATGTATGTATGTATGTATGTATGTATGTATGTATGTATATGTATATGTATATGTACAGTATATGTATATGTATATGTATGTATGTAAGCTGGCTTATATATGTATGTATGGTCCTGCCTCCTATTTTCCCCATACTGTGTTTCCCAGAAAATAGGGCCCAACCGGAAAATAAGCCCTAGCATGATTTTTTTTCAGGTTGCTCGTAATATAAGCCCCACCCCCAAATAAGCTCCAGTTAAGATTGTCAGCCAGATTGATGCATTTAGTACCGTATTTCCCCGAATATAAGCCTAACTGGAAAATATGCCCTAATGCATCTTTTGGAGCAAAACTTAATATAAGATCCAGTCTTATTTCCGGGGAAACACAGGTATCAACAATCCTGCAAGGTAGGTTGGACAGAAAGGGAGTGACTGGCCCAAAGTAAGGAGGACCACAACTCACACACAGTCTCCTGGTTTCTAGGCCAGCATCTTAACCACTATGCCAAACTGGCTCATTTTACACTTTTTCTTCCTGGTTTCACAGAGGAGGTTGTGCTGAAATTTGAGCAGACCCGCGTGCGAGCCCGAAATGTTGCATATGATACCCTTCCTGTGGTTATCCATGGCAACGGACCCACCAAGGTAACTTTTCCTCTCTTTACAATTTTAAATTTGCGCAATCTTTACCCAGAGTGTGAACTTCATTCCAAGATCCTGTGGAGCAGGTTGCACCATAGCTAAATGGCTGTGTGTACTTGCCTGTTTAGGAAGCTGGTATTGAGTTTCCACTGTTCAGGGAGTGGGTAGATAAACAAGGATTCTCTTTCCTCTTGATAGCCAGTGCTCTCCCAACCATCTCAAATTCACTTTCTTCCTTGTTCACTTATTAAGAGTCTCAAAAGCCGAATCCAATTTTGGAAGGTATTTCTTGACTTAACAACAGTTCATGTAGCGATGGTTCGAAATTGGGAACTCCCACACGTCCTAAATACAATTTTTGGATGAATCCATCTTCATCTCAAACCCATAGCTATAATTTTCCAATTTTTAAGAGCCAACACCATTGCTGTGGCTTTATGGGAAATTCCAGTTCTTTAATCCAGGGCTTTTCAACCTTTTCACCTATTGTACCACTTTTAGGATATAGCAGTATCCGAGTACCACCAGTCGTCTAGCAAGGTGTCAAAAACTTGATAACCAAAAAAAAAAAAAAAAGGAAAAAAGTGATAAAGTATAGGTAGTCCTCGATTTACAACAGTTCGCTTAGGGACTGTTCGAAGTTACAATGGCACTGAAAAAAGTGCCCCCCAAGCCACAGCCGAGCAAGTCACCTAACTGCCTGCCCAGCGGTGCTCTTCTTCCTGTCCGAGGTTTTCATTGCTGTGAGCATTTCTGTTGAGGATTGGCAGTGGGGGTGGGATGGGGGGTGTTTGGTTTTTATTCCCCCTCCGTCTGCTGGGTGGTTGCAGCAGGTTTTGGTCACTTCACATGACCCTGGGACACTGGGACCGTCATAAATATGAATCAGTTGCCAAGCATCTGAATGTAAATCACAAGACCTTAGAGATGCTGCAACATTCCAGCTGATCGGCTCTACTTCTGGGCTCAGCAGAAGCGCCAGGATCAGTGCCGAGGTCCAGCTGGAGCCTGGCACTGATCCTGGCGCTTCCACTGAGCCCTGACAGTGACAGTGACAGCCCTGACAGCCCCGAAGAAGTGCCGATCAGCTGGAAAGCGGCACTGATCCTGGTGCTTCCGCTGAGCCCTGACAGCCCTGCAGCTCCAGCCATCTCTCGCTCAGGCTTGTGCGGTGCTGCCATCAGTTCAGCTCATTCTCCTCCCCCGCTACCACTTTTCTAGGATGGTCACGTACCACCTGCCATGTGCCAATGTACCACAGATGGTACCCGTACCACTGATTGAAAAGCCCTGCTTTAATCCATGTGTGGAATATCTCAGAAATGTCCATACTTGTAGTAAATCTACAAAGAGGTCTGCCCTGGTGCTGAATTCTCTCTTCCCTGTTTTTCTGCTGCTGAGCAAAATAACAGGTAATCCTCAACATACAACAGTTCATTTAATGACCGTTTGGAGTTGCAACAGCATTGAAAAAGGTGACTTCTGACCATTTTTCACACTTAATGATATTTGCAGCATCCCCCCATGGTCACATGATCAAAATTCAGATGCTTGGCAACTGGTTCACATTTATGACCGTTGCAGTGTCCTGGGGTCATGTCATGATCCCATTTTGCGACCTTTTGACAAGCAACGTCAGTGGGGAAGCCAGATTCACTTTTAACAACCGTGTTACTAATTTAACAGCTGCAGTGATTCACTTAATCACTGTGGCAAGAAAGATAATAAAATGTGTCACTTAGCAACAAAAATTTTGAGGTCAATTGCGGTCGTAAGTCGAGGATTACCTGTATTGGTGCAACTCACCTTCATTCCATCTTTCACAGACTTTTTCCTTCTCTCCATGCAGTTACAGCTGAATTACTTGGGGAATTACATCCCCAATGCCTGGACATACGAGGGAGGCTGCGAAGTATGCGATGATAACCTCCTGGATCTGTCAGACGTGCCAGTGAGTCTCTGGGTATCCTACTAGAGGTGAAAGTAGGGGAGGAATATAACCCAGATGGACTTTAGTAAGTATCTAAGTCAGGGATGTCCAATCTTGGTAACTTTAAGACTTATGGACTTCAGCTCCCAGAATTCTTCAGCCAACCATGTTGGTTGGGAAATTCTGTGAGTTGAAGTCTACAAATCTTAAAGCTGCCAAGTTTAGACACCCCTGGTCTGAGCTGAGAGCTTGGAGACCTAAATCTCTTTTCCTGTCTTCCTTTGCTAGGAAGAGTCATATCCACGTGTTCTGCTGGGTGTCTTTATTGAAAAGCCAGTACCGTTCTTGCCTCAGTTTCTTCAGCGTCTTCTGACTTTGGATTACCCTTATTCTCACCTCAGCCTCTTCATTCACAACCACGTGAGTTGAGCCAATAAACAGCCCGCCTTGACTTTAGACTGCAACTCCCATCAGCCCATGGGCCTGCCAGCTGGGAATAATGAGAGTGGTCATCCCACACATCTAGAGGGCCACCATGTTATGGGGAACTTCTGGGATTACTTGTGACTTCCTTTGTTTCAATAATTTCCTTGATACTGGTTGCTTTTCGGCTTATGTGTCACAGAAATGAAATCCACAGCTGGACATGGTGTCTATTGCAGAGGTTGTAACTTTGGATTCCCTGGGGGGGGGGATGAATAGGGAACAGATGTTAGCTTCCCCCTCTTCCAGTTATACAGTTGAAATCTGCGGAGATCTCAAAAAAATGTTAAAAATGCACAATAACCAAGCTTAGCATACTCCAATTGAACTTATAATTAAGTACAGAAGCGTATTTCCAAAAAGGACAGAAAACAAAATATATTCTGAGCAAATTGAGACTGTCTGCAACAATAAAATACAAAACAATTCAAATCAGTGCTATGACAGTTCAAGTAATAAAATATTTCTAGCTTGTAGAAAGGTCCTGGCTGGCTGGAATGTAATGTGGTTACCCAGGAAGAGAACTGAGGGTGGACTTGTAGGTTTATTATTTCCACTGCCTTCCTGTCAATCTTATTGTTGTGACTCTATGCCAGCCTGTGCTCCCAACAGCGGAGTCTGAGGAATCTGAGGAGGAGGTGGAGGAGGCATTTGAAGGGCCATCGGGGCAGAGGGAGGCTCTGATGAATTACAGGATTCACGGTTTGATGCAGAGCCTGGGCCCTCCAGTCGTGTTCCTGATGAAGCTCAGCTATGTGAGGAGAATGAGTCAGATTCGGACGACTCACACCTGATGGACTTGCTAATTGATGCTCGCACACGTCGTCAATTAGCGAGAGTAAATCAACAGCAGTCAATACAGCAACTCCAGAGTAAAAGGAGAAGGCAGTGAGAGGCAATGCCTTGGGACTGCTGTATAAAAAAAGGAGGTGTGGGCGGTGATGGTTGCTGAAGGCAACCGTTTGCAAAGTGCTTCTTGGAATCCTGGTCTGTTCGTCTTGCTTGTGACTTCTCGTCTATTTGCATCGTGTTTCCTGTGGATTATTTCCTTCCTTTGGACTTGAGTTTTGCTGCTTGTGTTTTGGACTATTTGACAGGTTTGTCACCCATATTAAAAGGGGTTTGTTTTGTTTTAAAGTCTCCAGCCTATTGTATCAACAGGGGTTTGGTCCTTGTGCCTTTAACAAGGACGGCAATAGGCTGGGATAGAACACTTATGAGGTAGTCCTGATAAGAAGCACACTCATATATTCAAGATGGACAATATTTAATATTTATTTGCTACGTATATGTAGGGATGTGGGTCTATACATATGTTGTTCATAGTATGTTTAGGTGTGTGTCATGTATGTGTTTCACTTTGAGAGCGGGCAACTAAATTTCATTTTTGATGTGTGCCCTTGTGCCCACGGTATAAAAATGACAATAAAGATTATCTTATCTTATCTATCTATCTATCTATCTATCTATCTATCTATCTATCTATCTATCTATCTATCTATCTCAGGAGTACTCGCTCTGTTTTAGTGTATGGCTACATTAGTGGAAAGTACATCTCCCTCACATTTACAGTCTAAGAACAGCAATAGCACTTAGACTAATATACCACTTCCCAATGCTTTACAGCCCTCTCTAAGTGGTTTGCAGAGTCAGCATATTTGCCCCCAACAATCCGAATCCTCATTTTACTGTCCTCGGAAGGTTGGAAGGCCGAGTCAATCTTGAGCTGATGAGAATCGAACTGTTGGCAGCTGGCAGTCAGCAGACGTAGCCTGCAGTACTGCATTCTAACCACTATGCCATCAAGGCTCTTCTAAACGAGTGAGGGACCCTTGCCCTGTCTCTTGTCTGACCATTGTGTAGTCTAGTTTCTCAACTTCGGCAACCTGAAGATATGTGGACTTCATCTCCCAGAATTCTGGGAGTTGAAGTCCACACATCTTCAAGTTGCTGAGCTTGCGAATCATTATTCTTTCCGCCTCCTAAGGTCATTCATAGATGCCATTCCATCTCCATAGATGCCATTCCACCTCCTTACTCAAACCTTGAAATTCCTCTCCATCTTGGCTGCTCAAGGACACTTAATAAACCTGTCTGACATTTTGCCAGGAGGTGTACCATGAGCCCCACATCCAAGCTGAATGGGATCAACTTCGCAAGGCCTTTCACCCCATCAAACTAATCGGGCCGGAAGAGGATCTGAGCGAGGGTGAAGCCCGAGATATGGCTATGTAAGTAAATACAGGGTAAGAAATGACAGATTCAGCTATCTCAATTGGTAGAAAAGCACAGGAGGTTTGTGTTTGTGTTTGTGTGTGTGTGTGAAATGAGGTGCCTGCCAGAGCAAAAGCAGAGATGCAAAGGAACGCTTTAAGCATCATGTCCCCCTCCCCCCTGCAAGATCAGGCAGAAATTTTTATTTATTTATTTATTTTAGACCAACAAAACAAAACAAAGCACAACAAACATTACACACATACAAACGTAATATATCCTTTTTTGTTAACAGCAATTTGTAACAGTACTCTTCTATTCTTTACATTTCCCCCCTCTTTCTTCTTTGAAATATTTGTCCTTATTGCCCTATTGTTTCTTATTTACATTTTTCTTCTTTCATATTCTACTACTTACTTAGGAATCCAACGTTACTCATTATAGTAACACTCATATTTTTTATAAGACTGGACCGGAATTCCATCTAAGCATGGTGATCATACAAATATTCTCATATTATTTAGTGCATATACTGTTTTTACTCTAATACTATTTCCAACATTAAAATTCACCCCTTTTCATCCAAGTATATTTATTTAATTTTATTTTTCTTTGACATATATAATAATTCCTCCTTTCTTGTTTTATGCTAATATTGTGTATAATGTTTCTAAATTTTACTTTCTCTAGTAATTTTCTATAATCCTATTTTATCTAAGTGTTGTCACTACTCTTAATTTCATTCACTATCACTCTTACTTGAATAGTCACCTGTTTATATTTCTCTACTATGCTATGATTACTTTTTCACTTCTATTTAGTCCAATTACTCGATTACACTTATTTCTATTTCATTAATACAATTCATTAATACAATTCATTTACTTCAATACTTTTAGTACATTTGGACCAGGCAGAAATTTAATTGGAAAAGCTTCTCTTGTTGCTACTAAACGCTAACTTTCAAGTATGTCGTTTTAACTATTGCCAGATTTCAGGCGAGACATAGTAATGAATTATTACTGCTGGTGTTTTGTCCCAAGTTCAGAAATACAACAGAAGTTCCCAGATTTAACACATGTTAGAATAGAATAACAGAGTTGGAAGGGACCTTGGAGGTCTTCTAGTGCAACCCCCTGCTCAGGCAGAAAACCCTATACCATTTCAGACAAATGGTTGTCCAGTCTCTTCTTAAAAACATCCAGTGTTGGAGCATTCACAACTTCTGGAGGCAAGTTGTTCCATTGATTAATTGTTCTAAATGTCAGGAAATTTCTTCTTGGTTCTAGGTTGCTTCTCTCCATTGGTTCTTGTCCTGCCCTCAGGTGCTTTGGAGAATAGCTTGACTCCCTTTTCTTTGTGGCAGCCCCTGAGATATTGGAATACTGCTATCATGTCCCCCCTCGTACTTCTCTTCATTAAACTAGACATATCCAGTTCCAGCAACCGTTCCTTATATGTTTTAGCCTCCAGTCCCCTGATCATCTTTATTGCTCTTCTCTGTACTCTTTCTAGAGTCTCAACATCTTTTTTAGATCGTGGCAACCAAAACTGGATGCAGTATTCCAAGTGTGGCCTTACCAAGGCATTGTAAAGTGGTATTAACACTTCATGTGATCTTGATTCTATCCCTCTGTTAATGCAGCTTAGCACTGTGTTGGCTTTTTTGGCAGCTGCAGCACACGGCTGGCTCATATTTAAGTGATTATCCACTATTCTATCCCTCCAAGATCCCTTTCACAGTTACTACTATTGAGTGAGGTACCACCTATGTTGATAAGTGGCTGTATTCTTGATACAATAAAAGCTACATAAATGGGGAACATATGCCTGAATCCAAGGATAAAAATCAAGTCCGAGATACTTGTCTACTCCGGGATTTAAATAGAATAGAATAGAATAGAATAGAATAGAATAGAATAGAATAGAATAGAATAGAATAGAATAGAATAGAATAGAATAGAATAGAATAGAATAGAGACTTGGAATAGAATAGAATAGAATAGAATAGAATAGAATAGAATAGAATAGAATAGAATAGAATAGAATAGAATAGAATAGAATAGAATAGAACTGGAAGGGACCTTGGAATTCTTCTAGTCCAACCCCCTGCTTAAGCAGGAGAACCTACACCGTCTCAGACAGGTGAACATCTAGCCTCTTCTTAAAAATCTCCAGTGACGGAGTGCCCACAATCAAGCTGTTCCACTGGTTGATTGTCCTCACTGTCAGGGAGTTTCTCCTTAATTCCAGGTTGCTTCTCTCTTTAATCAGTTTCCAACCATTGTTTCTCGTCCTTCCATCTGGTGCTCTGGTGAACAACCTGGCCCCCTGTTCCTTGTGGCAGCCCCTCACTGTAAGCCATTGTATTCCCATGCTTGAGAACTGCTCCATATTTACATACCAGTTCTTTCTAGCCTGAGAACTGTTGGTTCCTGCCTAGCTAAGTATAGCTCTTAATCTTCTCTCCATGTGCCTAGAGTCTTTTGAAAGGCAAAAGAGCTTTTTGGGATGGCAAGGGCAGAAGAGCAGTGCATTTTCAAGCGCTAAAGTAAGCCAAGTCGAAAACTGAAGATCCTTTCATGTATTCAGTCTCTTCCTCAATGCTTTGACTGATTGCATCTGCCTTTGCATCTGCCAGGAGGAACTTGGAAAAGGAACGAGAAGTTACTTCGCTTCCTGGGGAAAAACACAAATCTCCAGATATCACTAACCTACTTCGTCAATGAGCTGGGTCTGTTGAGGTTGTAGATAATAACCACAGCCAGTCCTCGACTTACAACAATTTGTTTGCTGACTGCTCAAAGTTAGAATGGCACTGAAAAAAAGTGACATGACCATTTTTCACACTTACAACCATTGCAGCATCCCCATGGTCATGTGATCAAAATTCAGATGCTTGGCAACTAGTTTATATTTGTGATAATTGCCTCATGTGATCACCTTTTGTAAACTTCTGACGAGCAAAGACGATGGGAAAGCCTGTGGTGGGAGTCAGCCGGTTCGCACCGGTTCAGGAGAACTGGTAGCTAAATGTCATTGAGTTCAAAGAATTGGCTGAACCCACATTGCTTCTGGAAGTCTGTTCTAGGCCTCAGAGGCCTGGAGGAGGCCTCCCAGGCCTAGAACAGCCCACAGGAAGTGCGTGGATGTCACTTCCGGAAGTCTGTTCTAGGCCTCAGAGGCCTAGAACGGCCCACAGGAAGTGTGTGGATGTCACTTCCGGAAGTCCATTCTAGGCCTCGGAGGCCCAGGCCTGCATCCACACAGAGAACTGGTTGTTCAGGTATTTGAATCCCACCACTGGAGAAAGCCAGCTTCACTTAACGACCGTGTCACTAATTTAACAACTTCAGGGATTCCCTTAACAAGTGTGGTAAGAAAGGTTGTAAAATAGGGCAAAACTCATTTAACAAATGTCTCTTTTAGCAAGAGACATTTTGGGCTCCATTGTGGTCCTAAGTCGAGGACTACCTGTTCAGGGTCTCCTGTATTTGGTTGGCAGAGAGAAATGGGCAGCAAAGCATCAAAGTTTTAATCCAGTGTTTCTTAACCTTGGTCACTTTAAGATGGGTGAACTTCAGCTCCCAGAATTCCCTAGCTAGCCTGGCTGTCTGGGGAATTCTGGGAGTTGAAGTCCACCCATGTTAAAGCTGCCAAATTTGAGAAACCCAGTTCTAATCCATCCTCTTTTTTTTCTTTTTTGCATTCCAGGGATCTGTGCCGACAGGATTCCACCTGCGACTATTACTTCAGCCTCGATGCTGATGTGGTGGTGACAAATCCCGAAATCCTGCAGATACTTGTGCAGGAGAACAAGTAAGCAGTAGTTCCACACCCACCCAAGTGCTGGGCCCAGCTGCGGGCCATACTGACTTCTCCTTTTACCCGCTGGCTTTTACTCTCCTGACTTCTGTATTACTCGTCTGCACCATCCAGGAACGTGATTGCTCCCATGATGTCTCGGTATGCCAAGCTTTGGTCCAACTTTTGGGGTGCCCTTAGCCCCGATGAATATTACGCCCGCTCAGAGGACTATGTGGAATTGGTGCAAGGCAAGAGAATGTAAGTGGGAACTTTAAGCATATGGATGGTTGGGTGGAAGGTGGCTTTTGCAGAGTGGAAGACTTCTACAAGTCAACCAGATGTGTCAAGTCTTCCCATGTAGACCAGACAGGAAAGATGATAAGACAACTGAATTCTGCTTTATTGTAAGGCTAATTATTAGAAACTCGCAAGTCTAAAAGTACAAATCTCCCACTGTCTCACTTTATTGTAAGACTAGTTAGCAAAAGCATCTTTGGCACAGTCCTTAGGCATTCTCTTTGCTTCATCTCCCAAAGTCTTTTCCACATACAAGATGCTAAGCCAGTGGTGGCGAACCTATGGCATGCATGCCAGAGGCGGCACTCAGAGCCCTCTCTGTGGGCACGCATGCCATGCCCCGGAGATGGCAACCATCCCTCTTCAACCAGCCACCAACTAACTCGCCGAGATCCCACATAGCCCATGCGCTCGCTGGCCTCTGTGTGCAGGGGCCGATGGTGTCAGGCAGCAGCCTCCCCGGCCCCTGCCTCACCATGCCCTGTGACAATAGCATCCCAACCCTGCCTTGCCTTGCCTCACCCCGCAGGACGAGCCTCCTGCCCACCGGCCCACCTGCCAGAGATCCCCTGGATCTCCCCCAACCCTGCTCAGCCTCCACAGGCATCCCTTCCCATGAGCAACATCGAAGTGATCACGCCCACCTTGGCCACACCCACCCAGTCTGCCATGACCACCACAGCCACGCCCATCCAGTGCCCACGCCCACCTGGCACCCAGTGATAAATAAGTGGGTTTTGGGTTGCAGTTTGGGCACTCGGTCTCTAAAAGGTTCGCCATCACTGTGCTAAGCTAAAGCAGAATTCTGGAGTTTGAGAAGAATGATTTTATGGCTAAAGAACACATGTGATTTTGCACTTAGAGTGTTGGATGCGGTCTGGATAGACACAGTTCAAATCATATTGGTGGCTATGTGTATGAAACAAGCTAGACTAGGTTAAACTGGGTTTGAATCATTAGTACGCTTCACATTTAGGGCTTTCAGCCATCGAGGGCAGCAACATGGGCTCCTAGCTTTTTAAAGATGAACAAAAAACCTCTGGGACAGAGATGGGCAATTAATTTTCCTAAGGGGCCACATGAAAAACAGTTGTGCAAAGCTCAACCAGTAGAGCTGTGAAGATGTGTAGGCACACATGGATGCATATAAGTAAATTGGGGAAAAAAAATAGCAGTCACATTCAAAACAAAAGCAGTGCAGTTTTAGTGCATGCATGGCGTACATTTATTTACATTTGATGATATGAGCTGTGATGGCGCAGTAGTTAGAATGCAATATTGCAGGCTGATTGTGCCTACTGCTAGCAGTTCGAACCTGACCAGCTCAAGGTTGAGTCAGCCTTCCGTCCTTCCGAGGTCCCTAAAATGAGGACATTGTTGGGGACAATATACTGACTCTGTAAACCGCTTAGAGAGGGCTGTAAGGCACTGTGAAGCAGCATATAAGTGCTGTTGCTCTCTAATTTTCGATTGACCTCTTACAGGCAGGACAGGGACAGCCAAACGGCCTGAGGGCCGTAAAATGCCCAGGTCTGCTCTGACATCAAAAGGGCTGTGGTTGAAAAAGTCAAAATTTTTTGTAGGGCATTTTGAGAATTTAAGAGGGAAGTAGGCTTGAAGTAATAGTCCCAGGTGGAATCCTGTCGGCACAGATCCCTGGGATCAAAAAAAAAAAAAAAAAGATTAGATTACATGATATGATATGATATGATATGATATGATTAGAATAGAATAGAATAGAATAGAATAGAATAGAATAGAATAGAATAGAACAGTGTTTCTGAAATCTGTCAGCTTTAAGACAGGTGGACTTCAACTCCCAGAATTCTGAGAGTTTGAAGTTCATCCATCTTAAAGTGACCAAAGTTAAGAATCACTGGATTAAAACTTCGCTGCTTTACTGCCCATTTCTTTCTTTCCATTTGGAGATGGGAGTATAGCAGTGATGATGAACCTTTTAGAGACCGAGTGCCCAAGTGTGCCCATTTATGCATCGTTGAGTGCCGGGTGGGCATGGCCCACTGGGTAGGCATGGCTGCAGAGGTAACGGCAGACTGGGTGGAACTAAAAAGTTCAATCAATCAATTCCAACTTTACAAGATCTTTTTTTTTCCCACAAGAAGTTGAAATTGACTGATTGAAACTTTTTTTTTTTTTGCACACGGCAGCGGAGACCTAAAGCGAAAAGGTTTTATAAAACCCAGCTGAAGGCCTAGGACTGGGGCGATGGCACGCGTGCCCACAGAGAGGGCTCTGTGTGCTGCCTCTGGCACCCGTGCCCTAGGTTCGCCAGCACTGGAGTATAGAATCTTTACAAAGAAGTTTGTAACCTTTCTCTGACCCTAAACAGTTTGGGAATACTGCCAAACGTATTTAAGCCAGGCCCAGCTGATAGGAAACATGCTATTTTGTCAGGTTGAGCCCCATCAATTGTAAAATGCAGGGAAACAAATCCTGCCGGAATTCATCTTTGCCGTTGGGGGTTTGGCATTGCTATGTTCCCAGGTCTGGAAAGGAAAGATTCCACTTTGGGTGTGGCAAAATGTGGGTGTCATGCCCTCTGTGGGCAAACCCTCCATAAATTTGATTTCAAAAGTAGCAAAGTAGAAAATGCATTGCCAGTCGAAGTAGCATCTCTCAGTTTCAGTTCTTGGGAAGCAACAGAAGGAGATAACTTCTGTTCTTAATCTCTCTCTCTCCCCGCGGTCTTCCAAGACGCTTTGCTCCATCTGTAATTTCGGACTGAATATACTCCTTGGCATAGTCCAAAAAAGGAAAAGCTCTTTTTTTTCCCTTTAATCTTCCGATCTGCATACCTGCTGCCTTGTTTATGGTACCGCTGATTCTCCTGTTGCTTTTCCCTATCTCAGTGGCGTGTGGAACGTCCCCTATATCTCTCAGGCCTACCTGTTGAAAGGGGAGATCTTAAGGCAGGATTTGCCCCAACGCAATATTTTCACCTTGGAGGACACGGATCCAGATATGGCCTTTTGTAAAAGTGTGCGGGAGAAGGTGAGAGTTTTTTGCTTTCTTGGAGGCCGCTCAACCAAAAAGAACGAAGTTCTTTAAAAAGTTTGTTTTTCGTATTTTATGTTGATAATATAAGTCTATTACAGAAGTCTTCAGCTGAAAACCAATGTTTCAGCAACTATTCAAATTTGGGAGGGTGCTAAATGAGTGGTCCAGGTAGTCCTCAACTTAAACAACCATTTGTTTAGCAACCATTTGGAGTTTATAACGGCACTGAAAAAAGTGACTTAACGTTTTTCACTCTTACGACCACTGCAGGATCCCCAGGGCCACGTGATATAAAAATTCAGATGCATGTATATATGACGGTTGCAGTGTCCCCAGCTCACGTTAATCCTCTTTTGTGACCTTCCGACATGCAAAATCAACGGGGAAGCCAGATTCCCTTAACAACCGTGTGACTAACTTAACAACTGCAGAGATTCACTTAACAGCTGTGGCAAGAAAAATCATAAAATGGAGCAAAACTCACTGAATCTATGTCTTGCTTAGCAAGAGAAATTTTGGGCTTATATTGTGGTCATAAGTCAAGGACTACCTGAAGTTTCGATTGGTGCTCAGGAAGCAGAGGCTGGACAACCTATTCACCCTTAACAATGTTTGCAGTGTCCCATGGTCATGTGATCAACATTCATGACCTGCCCTGCTGATTTCCCACAAAGTCAATGGGGAAGACGGCAGAGAAGGTCACAAGTCACTCTGGTAAATTGCTTGCAATCCTGCCTCTTTTTCTTCCAAGGAGCCTGGCTACAGAATACTCCCTCGCACGCACCTGCAACACCACCCTCACCTGGCTCTGCCACACTTGCACTGCGCTGCAGCAGTCACTGACCTGTTGATTGGCCTGTTTGTGAGCCTGTCTGGAACATGCGACTTCCTGCTGGCTTCCCCACTGACTTGTTGGGAGCCAGCAGAAAATTGCAAGGAGGTCCTTGCTTTAACAATCCATGATCCTTGCTTAACAAATGCAACAGCGATTGATGGGATTGCCGTCACTAAGCCATGTGGTCGTGTGACACCTCATTTTACGACTGCATTGCTTAGCAGTGGAACCTCTGCTCCCAATTGCTATTGTTAAACAAGGACTACCTGTAGTTTGGGCAGTTTTATAAGCCATTTACCTGTACCTTCCGCAGGTACTGTTTTGACCTTATTTTTAAGGAGTAGAAATTTCCTCCAGACCAAAATATACTCTAAAGTGATGTTTGTTAACCTTGATAACTTTAGGATGTCTGGACTTTAACTCGCAGAATCCGTCAGCCAGCCTTGAAGTCCGCACTTCGCAAAGTTATCAAAGCTGAGAAACACTGCTCTAGAATCTTTTTCTAAAACTCTGCAGAACAAGCACAGGACATATGTGAAAGATGTCTGTGTATATTTATATTTATGTTTACCTTTACATTTATGTTTAGTCTCTCTATATATATCTATATCTATATATCTATATCTATGTAGATATATAGAGAGATGTGGTTAATAATATGGGTAAAAATTCGACTCCTGGTTATATTCATATTGTAAAATAAATAAATAGCGATCACCAGGAGAATTAATGAGAAAAACATTTAATAAAACCTAGCTTTCGTCAGAAGCTTCCGACATCGTCAGGGTTAAAAACAGTCATTGGGAAGAAACTTATATATGATCACTAGACGCCTGCATCCGCTTCTGGACCACGTCAGAAGGTCGCAGCTGATCAGATTGCACCATGAGTATACCCTTAGTGTATACCCACTCAGCCGCAGAGTTAGCGATGCAGGAGTGAACAATAGTGTATGGAATAGAAACAGGAAAAGGCTGGGCGCTGATGCTAAGGGTATACTCAGGGTGCAATCTGATCAGCTGGGACTGGTGACGTGGTCCAGAAGCAGATGCAGGCGTCTAGTGATCATATATAAGTTTCTTCCCAATGACTGTTTTTAACCCTGACGATGTCGGAAGCTTCTGACGAAAGCTAGGTTTTATTAAATGTTTTTCTCATTAATTCTCCTGGTGATCGCTATTTATTTATTTTACAATATATAGAGATATATAGATATAGATCAGTGGTTCTCAACCTGTGGGTCGGGACCCCATCTGGGGTCGAACGACCATTTCATGGGGGTCGCCAAACAACGCAGTCCGCCATTTTTCCCCCCCTTTTCCTTAGCTGTGCTACTCCCTTTTATTCTATTGGCTTTTGAAAGCCAATAGAATAGACTCTCTTGAATAGAGTCTAATTCTATTGGCTTTCAAAAGCCAATAGGAATTGTCCAGGCTGTCTCTGCCCTGCTGAGCCCGCCAAAAGTCCCATTCTGCAAACGGTGCTGCACCAGTTGAGTAGTCCTCGACTTACGACCGGTTGAGTAGTCCTCGACTTACGACCAGTTGGGGGGGTCACGGCATTAAAAAGGTTGAGAACCACTGATATAGATTATCTATATATCTACATCATCTATATCTATATTTATATTTATTTCAAACATCTTTGGTATCTCCTGGCATGTAGGCTCTTGGGACCACAAGACCATACAAATTTGGCCTAAATCTGGTCCTTCCTATCCTTTTCAGGGCATCTTTCTCCATATTAGTAATCGAGATGATTTTGGACGTCTCCTTTCCACCAGTAGATACAACATCTCCCGCCTACATCCTGAGCTCTGGCAGATTTCTGAGAATCCCCTGGTGAGTGGTCCCAGTAATTCCAAGCTGCCACGGGATGAGACCCTTTTCTCCCAATCTCACACCTACACCTCTGCGCCTAGATCTGGGAGGACATCTCTGGAAGGGGGAGAAGTTGTATGCTGATGGAACTACCCTTGCAATTTCCAGAGCATTATGGGAAATCCAGATGAATTCCCCAGATGGCTGTCCCTTGAGCTTCTCACAATGTCCAAGGCCCTCTGAGAATTCTGGGAATTGTAGTTTCAGAGTACCTGAAAGGGCCCTGTTTGGGGAAGGCAGAGATATGATGGCAAGTTTTGCAGAGATTAAATTTTTACTCCAGGACTGGATTGCCTGGCACACATTAGGCTAGGAGATGCATTTCCTGGGTATTCTGATCATTCTAAACGACTCTGTTCTTATTTTGTTCCTTCCTTGGACAGGACTGGCAGGAGAAATATATCCACGAAAACTACTCCCGCGTTCTTGAGGGAGAATTTTTTGAGCAGGTGACTGCCTCTCTTTTCCCTGGTCTTCTTGAGTTGCTGATTTTGCTCTCTCAAACTTCCTTCGCTCACCGTTTCTTCTTCCCGTTGGCAGCCTTGCCCTGATGTTTACTGGTTTCCTGTGTTCACCGATCAGATGTGCGACGAGCTCGTGGAAGAGGTGGAACACTTTGGCCAGTGGTCTGGAGGAAAACATGAGGTGGGTCTGTCCTAGCCTTTTCCTCCACCAAGATGACCACCACCATTCAGGTTGCTTCATTTGGAAGAAGGCTGAGGAGAGTTGGGAAGAGGGGTCAAAGAAGGCTTGCAGAATGATGAGGGACCTCAAAGACCTTAGAACAAAAAAAAAAAGCTGATCTGAAGGTTTAAACAAGGTGTAACTGAGGTGTAGGGCAGTTCACAAAAACATCAAAAGAAATTAAGATGGCGACTATTCCTCTTTTATGTGCGTTGGATGTAAAATAAGAGTTGTGCTTCACACACACACACAGTCGTGGCCACCATCATTTTTGGCCCTTTTCATCTGATGGACAAGGTGTATTAAATAGAGCATGATATGGGGAAGAAGGAACACTAGATTTGGGGTGCTTCCAAGCCCACCTCTTGTGGGAAGTAAAGTCTTCATCCTGGTTCATCCAAGCCGGGAATAAATAAACAACATGGCGACTGCTTTGGGAAGAAGGTTACAGTTTATTGAAGAGACAGACTGAAAGATGGTTCTGGCAGGAAGGAGGAGAGAAATCAAGGGCTGAGCACATGTGGAGTAGGTTTTTATACCCTCTGAAAGCCTTTTGCTTGGAATAGTTTCCTGTTCCTGTGGCATGAACTTTGAACTGAGTGTGCTTTTCTAGGCCTTGGTATCTGTGGTTTAATCCTATTATCATATCCTGCTTCCCTGGGGCTGGGCTAATGACTCTTAGAGTTTGGGTGCGGTATGCAGATTTTAGGTCACTTTGTCTTCTTGAGTTTTCTGGCTCCAACTTTCTGATGGTTTTACATTTGCATTTTTATAGGGCTGGCTCCTACTTGGGACAGAGAGATTTGGGGGCAGGGTTGGTTTCTGCTTTTAAAAATCCTTTTGCGGAAACATATTTTTCTGCCCTTTTAATATTTCCTTCTCTGGGGCTCTGATTTCCCTCATTCTTATCCACCCCCCAATATGGAGATTGGAAGATGAGTCAGAAGAGACGAAAAGACAGGCTCCATAATTTATGGAATTTCTTGCTTACAAGCTAGGGGGCCAGGACTTACCCTGGATGACTTTAATGTACGAGGCACACAAATGAAAAAGAAGCCATCGGCCTCCCAGTTTGAAGGTGGATCATTTGTAGAAAACTGGCTTGGCCCAGTTCCTGAACCATCTTCTTAAAGGGTCTTCCATTTCCTGGATGTTACATCCCTATCAATCCTTTGAGGTAGTCCCAACCAGGAAACCAAACCAAAATCATGAATATTACTGTCAATCATCCCGTTGGCTTATGTAGCAAAAGAAACCCCTAGGACATTTATTTTACCAAGAGTATAACTTTATTGATAATTCCACATTGGCACAAAAGAAGTGAAGCCAGTTCTGAAGTTTCTGTGCACGAAGTAGCCTAGTTAACATCTTCTTTTCTCTCCTGGGCCACCCACTGTTCATTGTCCACCAATTAATTGCAGTCAGCTTGTTTTGGGAAACCATCTTTCAATCTTGAGCATCTGGATGTTGCCGGGCGACTATCGGTTCCTGCGTTCCACAATTCCCTCCCTTGCATTCCAAATCTATCCACCCACTCCCTATTTCAGTCCGAGGAGGGGGTGCGTAGTGAGTCAAGCATGACAATTACTTTTTTTTTTTTGTAAAAATTTTTATTTTCAACTTTACAATACATAACAATCTTACAAATACTTCAGATAAAAAATGAAACAAATTGATACACACCACATTCGGTCTTGCCCGCCCATTTCCCCCCAAACCGCATCCCACCTCAAACCAACTTACTTCCTTCCCTCTTTTTCTTCACTCACCCCCTCTCCTCCTTCACCTCCACCTTCCTACTTTACTTCTCACCTTCTTCTCCTCCCTCTTGATGCGGTCCAGGGGAAATGCCCGAGCAGTTCCTCTCTCAAAATTAAAACAGTAATATTATATACAATAAGACTATTTCTACTTTATCTGAACTACTTAAACTTCAACCCATCCACCCCCTACCCCCTTCCCCCCACCCCGACTTCCCACAGCAAAATACAGGATTATGCAAACATATTAAACATAATCTATTTAAGTTTACTAATTATACAATGAACAAAATCATAAAAACCCTTAACTCTCTTCAAACTTTAACATCATAAGTTTATAAACAAAATCATTACTCACAGAATAAGTGAAACTTTGTAGTTCCATATTTCTTCTGAACATATTCGATCCATCTTCTCCATACGTTAAAATATCTCTCTTATTTTAAATACGTCTGTTAATCCCCCATTAACTATAATTTGTGCCGATTGTTGTTGATAAATGGCCTTGAAAGCAGACAAGAATTTATCTCCCAAATTCATTTCCTCTACAACTTTCAATAAAAAATTCCAATCTAATTGATCAAAAGCTTCCTCCGCGTCTATAAATATTAAAGCAGCAGGAATTTGGTTGTTCTTATCCAAATACTCTATTATAGCATGACAATTACTTTTATTGTAAGGAGAAAGTAACCAAATCTTCCAAGTTCGAAAGGGCTTTCCCCCTCCCCTGCCTTTGCGTTCCCGAAAAGTAGAGAGGGTCAGTACCGATATACTGTCTCCACGCCCATCCCTGCTCTGGATTCAAGATTTCCCTTATCCGACTAGGCTATGGCTCTTCTTTCTGTCTCTCAAGGTTATTTTCTGCATCTCCCCTCTAGGACACTCGGCTGGTTGGTGGCTACGAGAACGTCCCTACCGTTGACATTCACATGAACCAAATTGGCTTTGAGAAGGAGTGGCTGCAGTTCTTGAGGGACTACATTGCCCCGGTCACAGAAAAGTTCTATCCAGGCTACCACACCAAGGTAACGCCTGCACGTCTGAAGGTTACTGAAGGCAGAGTGAAGGTACAGAAAGCAGAGGATTCTGCTTTCTACTGCAGCGGCCCCCAACTTTTGGGGTACCAGGGACCGGTTCTGTGGAGAGATATTTTTCCCCGGGGCGGAGGGGGCGTGGTTTCATGTATTGCCTGCATCCCATGGATTGGGCTTTGCTTGTTCACGCGGACCGGTTTCTGGCATGCTGTGGACTGATCCCGGTCCACGGACCTGGGATTATAATAATAATAATGATAAAGTTGGAAGGGACCTTGGAGGTCATCTAGTCCAACCCCCTGCTCAGGCAGGCAACCCTATACCAGTGGTTCTCAACCTTTCTAATGCCGCAACCCCATAATACAGTTCCCCATGTTGTGGTGACCCCCAACCACTTATACATCACCGGGTGCCAGGGGCGTGGCCAAAGAAAAGGGGGAAAAAATGGCGGACAGCCTTATTTGGCGACCCCCGTGAAATGGTCGTTCGACCCCAAATGGGGTCCCGACCCACAGGTTGAGAACCACTTCCCTATACCATTTCGGACAAATGGCTGTCCAGTTTCTCCTTAAAAACTTCCAGTGTTGGCACATTCACCACTTCTGGAGGCAGGTTGTTCCACTGGTTAATTGTTCTAACTGTCAGGAAGTTTCTCCTTAGTTCTAGGTTCCTTGTCTCCTTGATTAGTTTCCATCCGTTGCTTCTTGTCCTGCCCTCAGGTGCTTTGGAAAATAGTTTGATTCCCTCTTCTTTGTGGCAGCCCCTGAGATATTGGAACACTGCTATCATGTCCCCCCTTGTCCTTCTCTTCGTTAAACTAGACATACCCAATTCCAGCAACCGTTCCTTATGTGCTTTAGCCTCCAGTCCCCTAATCATCTTGGTTGCTCTTCTCTGTACTCTTGGGGTTGGGGGCCTCTGTTCTACAGGATGTCTTTTGCAATTTCTACAAAGTAATTGGGGCCCCAACTGTTGCTTTTCCCCCACTTCTTGTCATGTGGCGGTGTCACTTAGTGACTCAGTTCCAGTGGTCCCAGTTGTTGTCATCATGTTAAGAGGATTACTGGGGTTGTTAAGTGAAGATCTCATGGGACTGCAACTTCTGACTTCCTGCTGGCTTTCCCATTGACTTGGCTTAGGACAGTGGTTCTCAACCTTTTTAATGCTGCGACCCCCCCCCCAACCCGTCGTAAGTCGAGGACTACTCAACCGGTCGTAAGTCGAGGACTACTCAACTGGTGCAGCACCGTTTGCAGAATGGAACTTTCAGTGGGCTCAGCAGGGCAGAGACAGCCTGGACAATTCCTATTGGCTTTTGAAAGCCAATAGAATTAGACTCTATTCAAGAGAGTCTATTCTATTGGCTTTCAAAAGCCAATGAATAAAAGGGAGTAGCACAGCTAAGGAAAAGGGGGGGAAAAATGGCGGACTGCGTTGTTTGGCGACCACCATGAAATGGTCGTTCGACCCCAGATGGGGTCCCAACCCACAGGTTGAGAACCACTGGCTTAGGAGAAGCTGTCAGGGAAACATCAAAAATTGCAGTCACGTGACCACTACAAAGCTGGAACTCTGAGGACTCATTGTAAGTTCCTCTCATTCAAGATTATTGCATATTTGACTGATGGCTGAACAAGTAGTCGTAACTTGAAGACTATGTGTACAGTCATCCCAGTCAGATTCAAATCTAGCAGCTAGATTTGCGTACATAAAGTTTAGTTAGTTTTTACTTTGTTTTGAGCTTTATTTGAGGGGGGAGTAGCATTGGGTGAGCACAAGACTTCTGATTTATTTATGGCTAAATGTAATGGCCAATATCTTCTCCCCCGAATGGGCTAAATCGGTGCCAGTTGGGTTGTATAAACTCAACTGATTTTATAAAGATCAGGTTTAAAATTCTTCTCCTAAACTTTTCTGTGTCCTTTTCACAATTGGCCACATCTGTTTCCTTTGGTTATTATTTTCATTTCCCAGAATACACTAGATCAGTGGTTCTCAACCTGTGGGTCGGGACCCCATTTGGGGTCAAACGACTATTTCGCGGGGGTCGCCAAACAACGCAGTCCGCTATTTTTTCCCCCCTTTTCCTTAGCTGTGCTACTCCCTTGTATTCTATTGGCTTTTGAAAGCCAATAGAATAGACTCTCTTGAATAGAGTCTAATTCTATTGCCTTTCAAAAGCCAATAGGAATTGTCCAGGCTGTCTCTGCCCTGCTGAGCCCGCCCAAATTCCCATTCTGCAAACGGTGCTGCACCAGTTGAGTAGTCCTCGACTTACGACCGGCTGAGTAATCCTCGACTTATGACCGGTTGGGGGTCGCGGCATTAAAAAGGTTGAGAACCACTGCACTAGATCAAAACTATTCCAGGTTTGGGTATCGGGGATCTTATGGGAAACCTCCGTTTTTGAATGAACACGTTTTATTAAAGAGCCTAAACTTTGGTGGGCTGCATCATTTCATCAGATAATACAAATGCCTTTTAATAAAATTTGTTTATGGGGGGGGGAAGTGCTACAGACTCTTAATTCAGCCCCAACTGTAAGCCAAAACCCCTGTTAATACAGTCCATCAATGTTGGAAAGATTCTTTAAGAATTAAAGTTACAGTATGTGTATGCATGACATAAATGAATATATCTTTTGTTGGGTGAAGCACCCGGTCGACCTAATATAAATCAGTCTGTTCTGCGTTTCGCTCCAATCTAGAAGCATGTTTTGCAGGCAGACGTCACATACTGTGAACACTATAAATTCAAAAAAAAAAAATTGTGGCTGACAAAGAGTTAGTGGGAGACTAGTATAGCTATTTCAAGCTCTTTAGCTCTCATCAGCTGATGAGAGCTAAAGAGCTTGAAATAGCTATACTAGTCTCCCACTAACTCTTTGTCAGCCACAAAATTTTTTTGAATAAATGAATATGTTCAGTTCCCAGAAAGAACATAGCAACCTTGAAGTTTTCATATGAAGAGTATGACGATTATTACTGGCTTCTTACGAAATGTTTTTTTTCACTTCCTGGTCCAGCTTACAACTTTCTCCCCAAAAGCTACCTGCTTAACTTTTTCAATATCAACCTTGGCGCTGTCATCTACTGACTTTTCGCTCCCCACCCAGCAGTTTTTGGAGTTCTGCCAGTGGCAAGAACCATAACCTGGGCGTGTTGCACCCGGAGTGAATATGATTGCCCCATTTCAGGCAGGTTTTACCCAGGTATGCCATTCTCTACCGTGCCTTCACCCAGAAGGTGCTAACCCTGATCTCCTCTTCTCAGGCTCGCGCAATCATGAACTTCATGGTCCGATACCGTCCGGATGAGCAGCCTTATCTTCGCCCCCATCACGATTCTTCAACTTTCACCATCAATGTTGCTCTCAACCACAAAGGGATAGATTACAAGGTGAGTGCCCTGGGAGAACAGGTGTCCTGCGTGAAGCGCTGGGTCTCCCCCTGTGCATGGCTTGGTTTTGGATGCTTTGGGGCTGTGAAGAGAATGAGGATGGGATTTAGGGTCTCAACAATTCTCGGGGTGAAATGATTTGAACTTTGCTGCGTTGCACAAATTTAAGTTTTATGTTTCGGGATCCAATCTGGGTTGGTCACCGGGACCCTAAGTTTTATCTTCTGCTGGAGCCCATCTCCAGGGAACTTCTCACTAGCAGAGCATCTGCTTTGGGCTGTTCTGTGTGTAGCGTTTATATGGTGCCTGTTGTATGTGGCTTTTTAGATGTTGATTGGGGTGTTGATGGCTGGCTATTAAGTCGTTGGCTGATGTTTGCTCGCCTCCTAAGTACTTGAAAAGCTGATGGTTAAATCAGCACTCCTGTTGACTGATGAGGTTTCCCAGGCTTCAATCACTTCCCTGGCTGTTTTTGTGCCTGCTCGTCCAACAATCTTAATAGCTGCAAAATCAAATGTTCGTTACAGGGCTCTTTTGCATTACTTTTTTTTGCATTTTAGTATTCAATGACTACGGGCCCATAGTTTAAGGCAGTGGTTCTCAATCTTTCTAATGCCACGACCCCATAATACAGTTCCCCATGTTGTGGTGACCCCCAACCACTTATATATCACCAGGTGCCAGGGGCGTGGCCAAAGAAAAGGGGGAAAAATGGCAGACAGCCTTGTTTGGCGACCCCCGTGAAATGGTTGTTCGACCCCAAATGGGGTCCCGACCCACAGGTTGAGAACCACTGGTTTAAGGATTGATATCATAGTTAGGCCATGTGTAACTGACTGACTGGATGCCAAACTGTGATTTTAATATAGCTTTTATCTGTTATTTATTATTTTACTCTAGAATTTTAACTGGATATTCATGGAGGGTTTTTATTTGTTCTGGTCTCTGGCCTTTGACGGTAATAAACTTAAACCTGAAACAGGGTGGATTGAAGATTGGATCCTGCAACATTATCCTGGGACATGTATATTCGCCTTCATTCATAAGTTTATGTTTGCCTGATGGATGCATAATGGGCCATGTGGTCAGTGTTAACTTTTAACAACTACAGAGATAAACCTTCTCTAGGATGGTCTTGGTGCCATTGTATCCATATATTTTGCTGCTGTTTGTCCTCTTCTGCTTCCTTCCATTTTTCCCAGCATGAAAAGGGAAAAATGGAAAGGGCCCATCTTTGCATAATACCTATAAACTAATGATCATTTGAACCTGGTCTCTTGTCTGTCTAAAAATGGTTCTCTTTGCCCCTAGGGAGGCGGTTGCCGATTTATCCGCTATGATTGCAAAGTGGAATCGCCCCGCAAGGGATGGAGCCTTATCCACCCGGGACGTCTCACCCACTATCACGAAGGTCTGCCCACCATTTGGGGCACTCGCTACATCATGGTTTCCTTTGTGGACCCCTAACGCTGGCAACCCCTGGCTCCCCCCTCCAGCCCATGGATCATAGAGGGCACCATGGCGAGAGAGGCGCAAAAAACAGGGGACTCTCTCTCTCTCTCTCTCCAGCTTCGTTGCCACTAAGTGCCTTCAAAAACAGAGAGACAACTGGTTTCCAAGTGCTGCTTGGCCCTTTATCTTTGGTTACCACTAGCATCAGGAGCCACTGTTGCCTTCCTTCCATCATCTCCCATTGCCCCAAGATTGGAGAATCTGTTCCACTCTTGGGCCAGTTGTTACTTGATCCGGGGTCTGCTCCAAGGCCTGTCCCCAATTCTGATGGCTCAGCCTTCAAAGAATTCTTACTGTGCTAAAGAAGATCAGCCTGGTTGGGCTAGGATGGATTGGAGCTTGTTGTTCAGTTAAGATGCATCTGATTCTTCGCAACCTCATGGACTATAGCAGGCCAGGCCCACCTCTATTCCACTGTCTCCTGGGAGTTTGTCCAAATTCATGTTCGCTGCGTTGATGACCCTATCTAACCGTCTCGTTCTCTGCAGTCCCCTTCTCCCTTTGCTTTCCCAAATATCAGGGTCTTTTCCATGGAGTCTTTTCTCATTTGGTGGCCAAAGTATTTGAGCCTCAACTTCAGTATCTGTCTTTCCAAAGAACAGTCAAGGTTGATGTCCTTTGGGATTTACTGACTGAATCTCCTTGTAGTCCAAGGCAGGGCTTTTCAACCAGTGGTACGGGTACCACCTGTGGTACATTGGCACCTGGCAGGTGGTACGCGACCATCCCAGAAAAGTGGTAGCAGGAGAGGGGAATCAGCTGAACCGGTGGCAGCACCGCACAAGCCTGAGCGAGAGATGGCTGGAGCTGCAGGGCTGTCAGGGCTCAGTGGAAGCGCCAGGAACAGTGCCGCTTTCCAGCTGATCGGCACTTCTTCAGGGCTGTCAGGGCTCAATGGAAGTGCCAGGATCAGCGCCAGGCTCCAGCTGGAGCTCGGCGCTGATCCTGGTGCTTCTGCTGAGCCCTGAAGAAGCACCAATCAGCTGGAAAGCAGCACTGATCCTGACGCTTCCGCTGAGCCCAGAAGAAGCGCCGATCAGCTGGAATGTTGCAGCATCTCCAGGGTCTTGTGATTTACATTCAGATGCTTGGCAACTGATTCATATTTATGACGGTCACAGTGTCCCAGGGTCATGTGAAGTGACCAAAACCTGCTGCAACCACCCAGCAGACGGGGGGGGGGGGGATAAAAACCAAACACCCCCACCCTGCTGCCAATCCTCAACAGAAATGAAAACCTTGGACAGGATGAAGAGCGCCGTTGAGTGGGTAGGCAGGTGTTTTGCTCGGCTGTGGCTTGGGGGCACTTTTTTCAGTGCCATTGTAACTTCAAACAGTCACTAAGCGAACTGTTGTAAATCGAGGACTACCTATACTTTATCACTTTTTTTCCTTTTTTTTTTTTTTGGTCATCAAGTTTTTGACACCTTGCTAGGCGACTGGTAGTACTCGGATATTCCCATATCCTAAAAGTGATACAATGGGTGGAAAGGTTGAAAAGCCCTGGTCCAAGGGACTCCCAAGTCTTCTCCAGCACAATTCGAAAGCGCCATAGGGTGGATACAACGCTGAGTTCTTCCCTGCCGGAATTCCAGAATTTCATCTCTTCCGCTCCTGATTTTCTCCCAAGCTACAATCTGCCGGCGAGCCGGGTTCTCGCCAGGTTCTTTCCGAATCCAATTTTGGCATAATGGGGGGGGGGCTCAATCAAGATCTGGGTGCTGGTGAAACAAGAAGGGTGCTTCAGCCCAATTCTCATGCGCGAAAAGATCGGGAAGGGGCTGGGGAGGCTTCTTTTTTTTTTTGTTTACACAAAAACAGCTCCAGGAAGTCAAAAGAAGCAATTAAGAAAGAGCACAGCGAAATGTCTAATGGAGATTCTCATTCATCCATGTCATGGTTGTCCCAAAGGTGCTTATTTCAGGAGGCCATTGGACTTTCTTGTTTTTCTTTGAAGACGTTTCGCTTCTCATGCAAGAAGCTTCTTCGGCTCTGACTGGATGGTGGGGAATGGAAAAGCACCTTTGGGACAACGAAGAAAGAAGTTATCTCATTGGGTTTTTTTTCATTCCTGATGTTGTGTGTGTGTGGGGGGGGAGCCTTCCTTATTGGTATGCCTCTTGACTCAGTTGGCTGGGAAAGAGGGAGGGAGGAGGACGTGGGAGGCTAACCACAGTTACCAATCACCCCACCCAAAAATGGCCCTCAATGCATTTTCAAATTCCTAGGAATCTTCAGCAGAGTAATGGGAGCAGCGACACCACTCGCTTCTTATTTCTCAGTGCTGGCTAGAATCCCAGGGCTAAAAGTCTTTCGGTCATGCTACATAAAGGGTGGCTTGTATCTGTTTGACAGCTAAAATGACTCTCGTTCGAGGTGGCTTCTTTCCATGCCTTGAGCCTTGTGGCTCTCTCTGGGAGCTCACAGCCTTGTGTAGCCTCTCACAATACTGCGCGCCATGGATCTATCGGTCTGTGTGGATGGAGGGGTGGCAGTGTGCGAGCCGTGTCCCGTACGAAGCGTGCTTTAAATTATTTCCTGTTTGACAGCACACTAAATAAAGCTCCATTATAAAAGAGGCAGGCATGCTCAGCCTTATTCGAGAAGGGGGAAAATAAAAGTTTTACAACCCGGGCTGTGCTTTGGTTCAAGATCGTTAGGTTAGTCAAGATCACTGGAAGAGATTGTAGAGATCAGCTACTCAGTGGGGAATCCACTGAAACATCTCTAGCAGAAGAGTCTAGTCTGAGGATCTTTAGTGAAGACCTTGCTGTTTCATGTGGCTGTCTGTTCCACCGGCTAACAGCCCATAATTCATCCTTCCTGACACCTAGCCTCCATCTACCACTTTCACCAAATGTTTTTAGATGTTTGTAATGATACGAGGCCGATGCGCATGAACTCAACCAGCGTTGTCAACCTTGGCTGGTTTAAGATATGCGGACTTCAACTCCCAGAATTCTCCCGCCAGCATTCTGGGAGTTGAAGTCCGCACATCTTAAACCTGCGGACGTTGACAAATACCGAACTAAACGAAGGGATCAGCTTGCCTTCCAGAAGTGATGGCGCAACAGTTAGAGTGCAGTACTGCAGGCCACTTTAGCTGACTGTGTTCAGCAGGTCAGCGGTTCAAATCTCACCGGCTCAAGGTTGACTCAGCCTTCCATCCTTCCGGGGTAGGTAAAATGAGGACCCAGATTGTTGGGGGCAATGTAAATATATATATACATTGCTTACTGGGGTACACCGCTAGAGCAGCAGTTCTCAACCTCTGGGTCGCGACCCCATTTGGGGTCGATCGACCATTTCACACGGGGCGGTGCATGGGGGGCGCTGCTGTGCATGCGCGCCGCGCAGGGGGCAGCGCCACACATGTGCGCCGCGCAGGGGGCGGCGCCACGCATGCGCGCCACCTGCTTATGTCCGGGGTCCCCGTATAAAAAGGTTGAGAACCACTGGCTTAGAGAGTGCTTGCACTTAAAGCAGTATATAAGTCTCATAAATAAATAAATAAATAAATAAATAAATAAATAAATAATCTCCGAACCAGGAATTCTAAATCAGTTGGAAATTCTTAAAATTTCCAATGGGCAGAAAACCAGCCCAGCCATTCAAGAGATCCATCCCTGATTTTTTCTTTCTGGAACCAGCCATGCCTCTTCTTGTTTCTGCAACTGGAACAACTGAGCCATCCGTTCAAAGCCTTCCGCGCCAAGGCAGCCGAATAATACTCCTTTTAGCACCAGCCAACAGGAGCGAGCTCAGCCCAACAGTGTGAATTTTACACAGAGGCCTCTATTCTTGATCTCCAGTTGCAAACTGGAAACCTGCAATCCTGAACTGAAATATTAGGAATTCTTCTATGTCAGGCTGCTGTCCTCCAGCTGAGTTTTGAACCTGGAAGACCCCATAGTTCGTACAACCAACTGGTGATTTGATCCCTTCAGGCTTCATTTAAAGGGAACCATTTTTTGTTTAGTGGATTTGCTATTTTGGTCAAATTCCAATCTCAGCAATAAGAGGCTCTTTTATTTAGTAGGGAGAAGCAAAAACTGAAGGCAAACACTGGCGCATTTTGTTCATCTGTATTTTTTTTTTTTTAAAAAAAAAAAAGGCCGTTTGGGATTTTTAAAAAAAAAACACAAGAAAGGTCACACACCGCAAGCAAATATGGCGCAGAATAAATTAAAATACAATCTCCTCCGCTTTCCTTCCCCCCCCCCCCAAAGCCGCAATTCCTCCAGGTCGAGAGTGAAAGAGGGCAACACATTTAATAAATACGAGCCGATCCGTGGTGAGCTTCCCAGACGGGGAGGTGAGAGAAGAGCAATTCCTTGCTTTTGCAAAGGAGAAAAATCCAGGGTAGTCAAGGCAGGTTAGCACAGTGTTTCCCAAACTTGACAATTTTAAGGCATGTGGACTTCAACTCCCAGAATTCCACAGCCAGCGTTGCTGGCTGTGGAATTCTGGGAGTTGAAGTCCTCATGCCTTAAAATTGTCAAGTTTGGGAAACACTGGGTTAGCATGAAGGAGAAAAGTTTGTTGAGCTCTCGAGGGTGGGAAGAAGAGCTAGAATCAGCTGGGTCCACAGAGTCCTGGATTCCTGGCCTCAGAAGGGACAGGAACTGAGGTAGAGGACGGTGCTCACCTGAGTCCAGGTTAAGGACCACTGGGAAGGTTTGAAGTATTGGCCGTGGCAGCACCAGGTTCAGGATAAGGGTATTGGTAATACCAGTGTGGATCCCGTTTGCAAGACGCCTTTTACGGGGGCGGGGGGTGAAGTCTGTTCTGCCTACCAGAGTTCTACCAGCGAAGGGCAAGGCACATACATGTGTCGACGTAGGTGAAATGCAAACCAGCCTGCAACTAGCTCCAAAACAAGGCTACGGGTGGTAGGCCTGAATCGTTACATGTATCTGAACAGGTGGATAAGTCATTGCAAAAAAACGGTGGGGCAAGTAGAACACCTGCTCAGGTCGAACAGACCCTTCTGGTTAAACAACAAGGCAATAATCCATTTGATCGTTATCTCGGATCCGGGAACCTCCTAAAATATGGCACCGTTGCTATCTCAAGGTACAAGATGAGCGTGCGAAGATGAGTGTCACCTCTTTACGCCAATCCTCTGAGAAGGTTCACGGTCATCCCTCAGGAATACTGAGATGCCAAGCAGAGTCGGAGGAGTTAGGACACAACTTGGGAACAATCGCAACAGGTCGTTGTTGCCAAGTCTGTAAACTCTGCAATGCAACTGAAAATGCAGTTGTCGCCCCCTTCTGGCAGAAGGGATGTGTTTGAAGTAATGCCTTTGCTGCCTCTACTGGCTAGCGTATGGCATTGCAGCTGCCATAAACTTCGGACAGTCAACTGGGCATGCTTGCATCTCTCTCTTCCGCTCTCTCACCCTTCGGCCGCCCTTTCAGCCGAAACACCACTGCTCTCTACCATCCTCCCCGTCTTCAGCGCCCTCTTGAGGCAAATGCTGCTCCACGCCCAGCGAAATGGAAGTCGAGCCTTGAGTCCAGCCATGAGATTGATTGCAAGCCGGGTGTCCCTGTCACTTGCTTTGTTGACTGTGCGGTTTCAGTCTCAGGCTGAGCTGTACTTGCTTTTGACGCAATTGGTGCGCATCAGCTGCAGCTGGCGAGCCACCTGGAGGACACGGTAACGTTCACGGAGGTTGCGGCGGCGTACGTGTTCGTTTGTGATCTCCTGCACGTAGGAAGAGGGGAACCAGCCCTTCTTGCCATCGGCTAGGCGTATGCCCTCGTACCAGCCTGTAGCATGGGGGGGGGGAGAGGAGAGGACAAAGGAGAGGAGAGGAAGGGAGAGAAGAGAAAGGAAAACAGAGGAGAGGAAAACAGGAGAATAAGGGAAAGGAGAGGACAGAGGAGAGAAGAGGAGAGGAAGACGAGGTGAAGATAAAGGAGATGGGACAAGACCAGAGCATACAAGAGGAGGGGAAAACGAGAGGAGAGAAGAGGAAGACAGAGGAGAGGAAGACAGAGGAGAGGAGACAAAACCCAGAGCAGACAAGAGGAAGGGAGAGGAGAGTGGAGAGAAGGAAAGAGGAGTGGAGAGGAGAGGAAGATAGAGGAGATAAGATGAGACAAGACCAGAGCAGAGGAGAGGAAGGGAGAGGAGAGAGGAGGAGTGGAGAGGAAGATAGAGGAGACGAGATAAGACCAGAGCAGACGAGAGCAAGGGAGAGGAATGGAGAGGAGAGGAAGATAGAGGAGACAAGATGAGACAAGACCAGAGCAGATGAGAGGAAGGGAGAAGAGAGAGGAGAGAAGGGAAGAGGAGTGGAGAGGAGAGGAGAGGAAAGGAAGATAGAGGAGACGAGATGAGACAAGACCAGAGCAGACGAGAGGAAGAGACAGGAGAGAAGGGGAGTGGAGAGAGAGGAGAGGAAGATAGAGGAGACGAGATGAGACAAGACAAGACCAGAGCAGATGAGAGGAAGGGAGAGGAGACAAAAAAAAAAGGCAACAATCAAGACCTCTGCATCCTTTTCTTCACTTCAAAATTTCTTGGGAGACTGTCCTGTTGCTGTGTGAAGCCCCAACAAGCACATTCCTGCTGAATCAGCCCTGTTCTAATACAGGTAGTCCTCAACTTACAACCATTCATCTAGTCATCAATTGCACTGAAAAAAGTGACTTACTGTACAACCATTTTTCACACGACTGTTGCAGCATTCCCATGTTCATGTGACCAACATCTATGGCAATGTTTCTCACCTTTGGCTGGGAGGAATTCTGGGAATTAAAGTCCAGGCATCTTTAAAAGTTGCCAAGTCTAGGGAGGCGCCCCAAAAAACCCCACAATAACAAATGTTATTAAAAGGCAGAAGCTCACGCCAGAACTCATAAGGCTTTCTGCCTTTAAAAAAAAAAAATTGAGTCCGAAAAGATGCAAACAGACTCCTGTTTTGATTTTGTTTTTTTTTTTGTTTTTTTGCTATGCAAGGAAGGATGAGATTGAATATAATCCATACATTCTGTGCTGAGGTGGATACCTTACACCTAGGGGCTGGGGGTTGGCTATAAAGCTCTAGAGGCCTGGAGACTAAAACATATGAAGAACGGCTGCAGAACTTGGGTTTGGCTAATCTAAAGAAAAGAAGAAACAGGGGCAACATGATAGCAGTATTTCAGTATTTGAGGGGCTGCCACTAAGAAGGGGGTCAAACTATTTTCCAAAACACCAGAGGTCAAGACAAGAAACAATGGTTGGAAACTGACCAAAGAGAGAAGCAACCTGGAATTAAAGAGAAACTTCCTAACAGTGAGGACAATTAACCAGTGGAACAGCTGGCCTTCAGAAATCGTGGGCGCTCCATCACTGGAGGTTTTTAAGAAGAGACTAGACCAGTGATGGCGAACCTTTTAGAGACCGAGTGCCCAAACTGCAACCCAAAACCCACTTATGCATCGTCGGGTGCCGGGTGGGTGTGGCCCATTCGTTGGGTGTGGCCCATTGGGGGGTGTGGCCCATTGGGTGGGCATGGCTGCAGTAGTAACGGCAGACTGGGTGGGGCTAAAAAATTCAATCAATCCCAACTTTGTGAGATCTTTTTTTTCCCGCGAGAAGTTGAAATTGACTGATTAATTTAATCTTTTTTTTTTTTTTTGCACATGGCAGCAGAGGCCTAAAGCGAAAAGGTTTTATAAAATCCAGCTGAAGGCCTAGGACTGGGGCGATGGTGCGCATGCCCACAGAGAGGGCTCTGAGTGCCGCCTCTGGCACCCGTGCCATAGGTTCGCCACCACTGGACTAGACAGTCACTTATCTGAAATGGTATAGATTCTCTTGCTTGAGCAGGGGGCTGGACTAGTAGACCTTCAAGGTCCCTTCCAGCTCTACCCTATTCTAGACCAATTATTACCCAATATTGCACAGTACGTGAAGATAAAGTTGAGTTTGCTCAAGGAGGCAATACAAACACACCCCTAGCCAATTTTGCTATCGCTTTTTCTCAGATGCTTACAGCCTAGCCTGGGATCACCTGATGATCTCCCTTTCAAGGGCCACTGAAGCACCACAGCGTTACACAGTCAGGATGGCCAATGTTCTAAATGGTGGAGGGCCATTTTCTTCCATAACACCCTCTCCGTGTTGGGGACTGCAACTTGCAGGTGGCTGAGAATTGGGGAAAGGTGCTGCAGACTCCGAAAGGACCTTGAAGGATCAAAGAGAATCCTTTAGCAGAGGATTCTGCTCAGAAAACGCCATCTTTTCGGTTAAGAAGCCCCACAGTCGAGGCTCCAATTTCTAAGTCGTTTCAGAGAAAGAAGAGAAAGAAACTGCAGCGGTTAGGGAAGGTCACATCCCCAAGGCTCACCCTCGGTTTTGCGTAACACGTTGATTATGTCTGTTGGTTCGAGATTCAGCTCGTCTGCCTGAGTTGCGCTGTAGGTCTCTGTGCACTGAACCTGGGGACAATCTGCGGAAAGGGAAGAGAAAAAAATAACAACGTAATAAATTTTTTGTTAAAGAAAATTAGAGGAAGAGGGAAAAAGGAAAAAGAAGGAAAGGTATCAAGTGTCTACGTGGTGGTAGGGAATAAACTTCCTGGCCCCTTATGTATTTATTAAATTTATACCCCGTTTTTTTCTGTAACATGCATCATGCATAGCACTCAGAATAGCAGAGTTGGCAGGGACCTTGGAGGTCTTCTAGTCCAACCCCCTACTGAAGCAGGAAGCCCTATACCCTCAGAGCAATTTCAATTTCTTCTTAAACGCTTCCAGTGTTGGAGCATTCACAACTTCTGGTGGCAAGTCACTCCACTGGTTAATTGTTCTCACTGCCAGGAAATTTCTCCTTAGTTTTAGGTTGGTTCTCTCTTTGGTTAAGTTTCCACCCGTTGCTTCTTGTCCTGCCTTCAGGTGCTTTGGAGAATAGCTTGGCCCCCTCTTCTTTGGGGCAGCCCCTGAGAGATTGGAACACGGCTACCGTGTCACCCCTAGTCTTTCTTTTCATTAAACTAGGCCAGTGGTGGCGAACCTATGGCACGCATGCCAGAGGCGGCACGCGCACCGCCACTGCCAGCAGCTTGCGCAGGTCCATTAGGCCTCCACCGCCACCTGGAGCGGCAGTCCCACCCAGCACAAAGGAGGCGAAGCGGCCAGCTAGCAAGCTCGAGTAGAGGTGGTAGAGCACGTCCACACCCACAAGCCAAAGGCCACCCCGAGCACAGAAAGCCGGATCCCCATTGGCGCCATGGCTCCCCAGTCCCAGCTAGGATTGCGTGCCTCCCCCCATCTATGCTGGGCCTTCTGCCCATGGCCCCAGCCGCCACAGACCCCCTGGATCTCCCCCAACCCTGCCCAGGCCCAAGTATCCCCCCATTAGCAACATCGAGGTGGCCATGCCCACTGTAGCCACGCCCACCCAGTCTGCCGTGACAACCGCAACCATGCCCACTCAGTGGGCCACGCCCACCCAGTAAGCCATGCCCCCATGCCCCCCCTGAGGGTACCACAATGCTGATGTGACCCTGACACTTTGCAATAAATAAGTGGGTTTTGGCTTGTGGTTTGGGCACTCAGTCTGTAAAAGGTTCGCCATCATTGAACTAGACCAGGGGTTCTCAACCTGTGGGTCGGGACTCCATTTGGAGTCGAACGACCATTTCACGGGGGTTACCAAACAATGCAGTCTGCCATTTTTTCCCCCCTTTTCCTTAGCTGTGCTACTCCCTTTTATTCTATTGGCTTTTGAAAGCCAATAGAATAGACTCTCTTGAATAGAGTCTAATTCTATTGGCTTTCAAAAGCCATAGGAATTGTCCAGGCTGTCTCTGCCCTGCTGAGCCCGCCAAAAGTCCCATTCTGCAAACGGTGCTGCACCAGTTGAGTAGTCCTCGACTTACGACCGGTTGAGTAGTCCTCGACTTACGACCGGTTGGGGATCGCGGCATTAAAAAGGTTGAGAACCACTGAACTAGACATACCCAATTCCTGCAACCATTCTCTGTATGTTTTATCTTCCTCTCCCTTAATCATCTTTTTTGCTCTTCTGCTTCCTCTAGCCTGCAGCCTTAACCACTAAAGCAAACTGGTCTTAGATAAATTGGAAATTGGGAAAGGAAAAAAAATCAACCCGGCCACAGAAAACCAAATTTAGCCTGAAAGGCAATGCTGAAATCTGTTTGAAAGCTCAAAATACGAGAAATGGTGGTGTGTGCCTTTCCACCTTGGCTCTTTTAGTCTCCCCAGCACGAAGCGGACAAACCGCTGGCAGATCCAGAAGCCGTGGAACAGCAGTATGATGTTCCTCAAGTTTGATGTTCCTAGCCTTTGAACAAGAAGCAGCAGAAGGGGGGTGGGTGGGTTAAAAGGAACACAGCCCAAAGGTCTCACCCCAATCTTCATAGATGGTTTCCTGCTTGTTATTAGCCTGGGATTCATGGCATGGGAAAGCACCCATCCAGCGGTGCATATCGGATCTGGAAAAGACAGTTTTGGAGATACACTGTTTGGGTTTCATTCATTCATTCATTCATTCAATATGGCTTCTCATCTACCAGATGCGACTGGAGGACTAACAATGCATTGTAAACAATGCAAAGAATAATGATCAATAAAGCATTGTTAAAAAACACAACGATCATCGGAAAGCAAAACCCAGAATATCTGCTGATCAGTAACAATAGCAACAACACTTAGACCAGTGGTGGCGAACCTATGGCACGGGTGCCAGAGGCGGCACTCGGAGCCCTCTCTGTGGGCACACATGCCATTGCCCCAGCCTTGCCTCTGCCCGCGACACTCTCCTCACCAGTAGCCTCCCAGGAGGAGAGTGGCCCCTGAGCATGGCTCATGTGGAGCAGCGCAGCCAAGGACATGGCAGCCAGGCAGCGTAGATAAGACTCTGGTCTCATGCCCCATCCTGCACAGTTGATGCTGTGGGCCGTGGGCAGAGGGCGTGGCCACCATGACGCTGCTGGCTGCCTGGGCGATCTGCAGCGGGCCCTGGAGGCGATCAGTGGCCCTGTGGGCAGGCAGGGTGGGGCGGAGCGGGGGAGGGGCAGTTTTTGGGCACTCGGTCTCTAAAAGGTTCGCCATCACTGATTTAGACTTATATACCACTTCATATTGCTTGACAGTCCTCTCTAAGCGGTGTACAGAATCAGCCTGAACGATCTGGGTCCGCATTTTACCAAAAGGATGAAAGGCAGAGTCAATCTTGAGCTGGTCAGGATTGAACTCCTGGCAAGTGAGCAGAGTTTGCCTGCAATACTGCATTCTAACCACTGCGCCAGCACAACTGGAGGAATATCTCCAGTTTTCCATTGGTTTCTGGTAAAAAAAAAAAAAAATACAATCTCCCATAGGAATACATTGATCCATTTAACGACCCCTGCATTTGCTTAACAACCACGGCGAAAAGGTTCATAAAATTGGGTCCGGTTAGGTGACTGCCTCAATTTATGTCATGACTATGATGGAAATTCTGCGCTCCATAATAATAAGTCAAGGACTACCTGTACACATTCTTGATCTAGATTTAACGTTCTAGCCCTCTGAAAAACCAACAAAATGGGCTACGCTGATCACCTCTCCCTTCTATTTATAAATGAGGTACAGTTACTACCCCCTTTCCTAACTATCTTCCCCCCCGTATGTGGTTACTTACTGCGTCGGGGCGCGACAGAGGCGTTCACTACTCCGCCCTTGGTGGTTCTCCATCAATGTCAGATAGAAGCTGTTCTCTGCATTTTGGCCGGTGGAGGCGTCCTCGCAGCTCTGGGCCTGGACTAGCGAGCGATGGGCATAATCCAGCACCACAAAGCGTTCTGAGCTGCAGCAAAAGGTAGGAACAGATCCGGAACAGAAGCAAAGAAAATTGATCAGTGAATCCAAACTCGGTTTCTTTTCAAAAATTGTGATTCACAGCAGTTGCTCCCCCAATGGCTGTTTCCCAGATGAATGGGCCTGCATATGGAGATCTAGGACCTGCAGATGAATAGACCTACAGTAGTACAGGGGTAGGCAACCTTGGCTCTTTTATGACTGGTGGACTTCAACTCCCAGAATTCCTGAGCCAGCATGAGGGAAACTTTGGTCCCTTCATGACTGGTGGACTTCAACTCCCAGAATTCCTGAGCCAGCATGGCTCAGCTTGGAAACCTCTCCCTTTCCCCTCAGCATGGCTGGCTCAGGAATTCTGGGAGTTGAAGTCCACGAGTCATAAAAGAGCCAAGGTTGCCTACCCCTGACCTAGTAGTTCCCTAACCACAGGAATCTGGTTTAGATCGATCTACAGTTCTCACCTAGAAGTAGAGATGAGAGCAATAGCACTTAAGACTTATATACTGCTTCACAATGCTTTCTAGCCCTCTTTAAGCAGAGTTTGCAGTGTCAACCTCTTGCCTCCAACAATCTGGGTCTTCATTTTAACCAGCCTCGGAAGGATGGAAAGCTGAGTTCAACCTTGAGCCGGTCAGGATCAAACTCCCGGTAGAGAGCTGAATTATGCCGCAATACTGCATTCTAACCACTGCACCACCACAGCTCCTTTAATCATTTCACCTTGCCTGGTGGAATGACACTTTGCACCAGAGGCAGAAGTCTCTGGTTTTTTTTTTTTTTTTAAATGACAAGTTTCTAGGCCTCAAGATTTGAAGCAGGAGGCTTGGAAAGCAGATCACGCTCCACTCTCAGACTTGCAAAATTTCCCGAAGCAGAACCATAGCCCAAACTTCACTGCCTCTCCAATTCTCCATCCCCTCAAAATTTGACCTTGGGGCAGAGGTGAAGTTTTGCCTTCCTCCTCCTCGTCTTCCTCCCTCTTCTATAGATTGTTGTTGTTGTTAATTGCGAAGTCGTGTCCGACCCATCGCGACCCCATGGACAACGTTCCTCCAGGCCTTCCTGTCCTCTACCATCTTCTGGAGTCCATTTAAGTTCACACCTACTGCTTCAGTGACTCCATCCAGCCATCTCATTCTCTGTCGTCCCTTCTTCTATTGCCCTCAATCTTTCCCAGCATTAGGCCCTTCTCCAGTGAGTCCTTCCTTCTCATTAGGTGGCCAAAGTATTTGAGTTTCAACTTCAGGATCTGGCCTTCTAAAGAGCAGTCGGGGTTGATCTCCTCTAGGACTGACCGGTTTGAACGCCTTGCAGTCCAGGGGACTCGCAGGAGTCTTCTCCAGCACCTCTTCTATAGATACACCCTTTTTAATGCAGCCATGTGCAAACGAATAGTCCTGTTGCCAGAATTTTTGGCCTAGGCCTAGGCCAGTGGTGGCGAACCTATGGCACGCGTGCCAGAGGCGGCACTCAGAGCCCTCTCTGTAGGCACGCGCGCCATGCCCGGGAGATGGCAACCGTCTCTCTTCAACCGCCCTCCTGCTAACTCGCTGAGGTCTCACGTGGCCGGATGCATACTGGCACGGCTGGTTTCCCTCCCCCCCCCCGTCCCATCCCTCCTGGCCTTGCATGCTCTCCTTTTCCCAGGCACAACCCACTGCATCGCCTCCTCAGCTGTCGGCCGGCCATTCAGTTCAGAGGTGGCTTCTTTGAACTGCTAGCAGCGGGCTGTGGAGCCCCAGAGTGTGCCAGTCAAGGGGCCGGCAAGCTGTGGCTGCTGACGGACACCGTTGGCCCCCATGCGCTCGCTGGCCTCTGTGTGGGGGGCCGATGGTGTCAGGCAGCAGCCACCCTGGCCCTTGCCCTGCCCCATGACAATGGCACCCTCTCCCCGTAGGACGAGCCCCACGTGCCAGAGACCCTCTGGATCTCCCCCAACCCTGCCCGGCCACCACAGGCATCCCTCCCCACGAGCAACATCGAGGTGACCACGCCCACCTTGGCCACACCCACCCAATCTGCCATGACCACCACAGCCACTCCAACCCAGTGGGCCACGCCCACCTGGCACCCGGCGATAAATAAGTGGTTCGCCATCCCTGGCCTAGGCCTTAAGGGCTCACCTCTTGCGCTGAGTGACCAGCAGCAGGTCATTGAAGAGGAACAGGTAGATGGGGACCAGTTTGGGCTTGTTGCCAAAGATGGTGCCCCGATGCACAACTTCCAGGAGCTCTCCCTGCTTTAGCAGCTGTCGGCTCTGAGATATGATTGGAATGGCCTAAATCGGAAAGAGAATCGTTAGAAAAAGGGCCTGGAAGCCGTCTGGATTTTTTGCAAGGTAGGAGAACAAAGATTCCCTGAACAAACTCACAGATTAAGGCAGTGAATTTCTCAAACGTGGCCACTTTAAGATGTGTGCACTACAACTCCCAGAATTCCTCAGCCAGTTTTGCTGGCTGTGGAATTCTGGGAGCTGAAGTCCACACACATCTGAACATAGCTGAAATTGAGAAACTTTGTGGTAGCTGGCTGTGGAATTCTAGAAACTGAAGTCCACACATAGTTGAAACTGAGAATTGTATTGATTAAGACTGATTGATTGCTTGATTGTCTGACTGATTATTTGAGTCATTATTATTATTCGAGTCATTTCTTACTCTTCTGCAAAATATATTCTGGGGGTATAATTTTATTTTCCAATTGTCACGTTTGGGATTCTGGGAATTGAAGTCCACACATAGTTGAAACAGAATTGTATTGTTTGATATTAAGTGATTGATTGTTTGATTGATTGATTTTTTGCCATCAAGTCATTTCTTACTCTTCTGCAGAATATATTCTGGAGATATAATTTTATTTTCTAATTATCACATTTGTGATTGCAGATAGTTTAAGAAAGGCTGGTTTTCATCATGGTTATTTTCTGATTTGGGTATTATCTGTATGAATAAAGGACATTTTTTCCCTAGTTAATATAATCACAACATAAGCTTAAGACTGAAAATCAGGCTTGTCAGATGCTATATTTTTTCTATCCTGCTTATGGAGTAGAGAGTTGGTCTCTGACAGAAGGCCACCTGAAGAGACTAGAAGCATTTGAAATGTGGATTTAAGGCGGCTGTTACGTATAAGCTGGGTTGACAAGATGAGAAATGAGGAGGGGATAAGCCGCCTGGGAAAGCCCAGGGAAATCATCAAAACAATTAAAAAACGAAAATTAGAATATTTTGGACATGTGATGCGACATCCAGAAAAAATACGGCATACTCCATTTAATCCTCCAGGGAAAGACTGAAGGCAAATGAGGTCCAGGCAGAAGAACAACATCATGGCTTCAAAATCTAAGGGACCGGTTTGGACAAAACTCAGCAGCACTTTTTCGTGCGGCTGCTGATAAAAACAGGATCGCCAACATGATTGCCAACGTCTGATAACGGATATGGCACAAGAAGAAGAAGAAGTTAATCTAAAGCAGTTTTTCCTGTGGACTTTCAGAATTCCCCAGCTGGTCCATACCTCTTAGAATCGCTAAGGTTGCAAAACACTGGATCAGGGTTTGCCAAGGCAGACAATCCTTTAAGAGTGAGCTTGCCAAAAGGGCAGTCTTTAAAACCTAGTTTCTCATATCCCTTGAATTGCGTATTTGAGGATCCCTTGCAGGAAAAAATATCACCATGCCACCTCCTAAATGCACAACCCCAGGCAGCCATAGCTTCTCTCAAATTCCCCAATTCATGAGAGCCCACTTGGAGGGCCGTGGGGACAAGCAGTGGGAGGCCAGGACAAGCCCCCACGGAAGGACCCAAGCCAAACCCTTTCAGACCTTCAGCTTATCAAACTCAATCTTGCTGGCCGTGTGGATCAGCTCTTCCATATGACGCATCCGGCCGACCTCGGAGTTACATTCCTCGATGATCTAAAGAAGAGATTTGGAGACGTGGGATAGAAGAGAAAGTCCATTTTTTTTTTGAGGCTTTCTTTTTTTTTTAACACATTTTATTGGTTTTTAAAAAATTCTTAAGAAAAAGTACTCAGGACCCACCGTGGTGGTTGGGTGGTCAAACATCCAAAAGTAAAAACATATATAAACAACACAACTCAATAAATTTCACTATCCCCTCTCTATTCCCCTCAATTAACATGATACATTTAAATATTCCATTTCTATTTTAAATTTCTATCACTATTAAACCTATATTATAACTTTATCGGTTTACAATTACAATAGTTTAAATTTAAAACAAGAAATTATCAATTCTAATTCTTAATCTCTCACATCCCTCATTTGATCACCAAACTCATTTATTTCTTCTTCCACTACACAATAGATATCCTAATAGCATTAAAATATTGATCAGCCCTATATATATGTAATCCCAAAGTCAATCCATCTCTTTAAAATAACGAGATAATATTAAATTCATTCAAATTCATTAAACAAAATTCAAATTTTCTCCAATTACTTATCATGCCTTATCATGTCTTTGTTGTCATACAAGAAATCCATCCTAGCAATTTAAAACATTCCATAAATTATTAAAAGCATCCCAATCTAAACAATTATTTTTTCAATTCCAGTACACAATAATTTTCATATATTTCCCAAACGCTACATAAGTACAATCCAATACTTTCTTACCCTGTTTAAAGTATCTATTTTAATAATCATGCTCCTGTGTATATATATATATATATATATTTGCTTCTAACTCTAAATCTTAATCCTTAAAACAATCCATAAATCCAGTATTGCCTTTTAATCCATTACACAGTTTTAGATTTCTCTTTTAAGTCTAATTCTAGTTTTTTTCCTGGAGCAAGCAGGTTTCCATAAACACGCTTTTCTTTCAGTCAGTGAGTCTATTTCTGTTGCTTGGAATGGCCTTTGAAGAAATAGAAGTCCCATCCTTTTTTCAGGCTTTCTAAAGTTACTGACCGTCCCACCCCAAGGAAAACTACCAAAACTTGGCTCAATGAAGCAAGCAAAAGCATTCTCCAAAATATGGTAAGGTGCCAACAAGACGTGTTTTTCTTTTTTTTTTTCATTCATTTTTTTCTCCTCCAGCATTCGGAAACCCTGCACAGGTAGTCCTCAACTTACAACAGTTCACTTAGTGACCGTTCAACATCCCTGAAAAAAGTGACTTATGACTGAATGTCTATGGAGATTCTCCAGTCCTCCAGGTCCCAAAGGTGCTTTTTCAGGAGGCAACTGGACTGTCTTGCTTTTCTTTGAAGACATTTCCCTTCTCATACAAGAAGCTTCTCCAGCTCTACCACTATCCAGTCAGAGCCGAAGAAGCTTCCTGGATGAGAAGCGAAACGTCTTCCAAAAAAACCCCCCAAGAAAGTCCAGTTGCCTCGTGAAAAAGCACCTTTGGGACTTATGACTGTTTTTCACCCTTACAACCATTGCAGCATCCTCTTGGTCACAAGATCCACATTCAGAGGCTTGGCAACTGACTCATATTTATGACGGCTGCAGTGTCCCACTTTTGCGACCTTCTGACAGGCAAAGTCAATGGGGAAGCCAAATTCGCTTAACAGCCATGTTACTAACTTAACAATTGCAGCGATTCACTTAACAACTGTGGCAAAAAAAGTCGTAGCACGGGAGAAAACTCACTTAATAAATGCTTCACTCAGCAACAGAAATGTTGGGCTCCATTGTCGTACATTGAGGACTACCTGTCTTTCAAGGCCTTGATCGATGGGAAGGGGAGGAAAATCACCCCCACCGAACATTAGGCAAGAAAAACCAAATGCACAAGTACAGCATAGGTGGCACCATGCTCAATAGTAGTAACTGTGAGAGGGACCTCGGAGTCCTAGTAGACAATCACCTAAATATGAGCCAGCAGTGTGCTGCAGCTGCCAAAAAGTCCAGCATTAATACTTCATGTGATCTTGATTCTATCCCTCTGTTAATGCAGTGCTAGGCTGGGATAGAATAGGGATAGAATCAAGATCACATGAAGTATTAATACCACTCTTCAATGCCTTGGTAAGGCCACACTTGGAATACTGCATCCAGTTTTGGTCACCACGATGTAAAAAAGATGTTGAGACTCTAGAAAGAGTACAGAGAAGAACAACAAAGATGATTAGGGGACTGGAGGCTAAAACATATGAGGAACGGTTGCTAGAAATGGGTATGTCTAGTTTAAGGAAGAGAAGGACAAGGGGGGACATGATAGCAGTATTCCAATATCTCAGGGGCTGCCATAAAGAAGAGGGAATCAAGCTATTTTCCAAAGCACCTGAAGGCAGGACAAGAAGCAATGGATGGAAACTAACCAAAGAGAGAAGCAACCTAGAACTACGGAGAAACTTCCTGACAGTGAGAACAATTAATCAGTGGAACAGCCTGCCTCCAGAAGCAGTAAATGCTCCAACACTGGAAGTTTTTAAGAAGAGACCAGACAGCCATTTGTCCGAAATGGTGTAGGGTTTCCTGCCCGAGCAGGGGGTTGGACTAGATGACCTCCAAGGTCCCTTCCAACTTTACTATTATTATTATTATTTTAAATCAATGCCGCATTTATCCAAAAAGGAGACATTTCTGGCCCACCAGACTTCAGTCTGTATTAGAGCTATCGAGAATGCCCTTACAGATGCCAGCAGCAAACCAACTTTGGTTGACCTTAGAGAAGCTAATCAGGGTCAAGCTTGGCCAGCATTTCAACGGGAGACAACAAGGATTGTAAGCTAGACTAGACGGTTAAAACAAAACAAAACATAGAGGTGGTCTTTGACTTATGACCCATATTTGAGCCCTGGAATTACAAGATGGTTGTTAAGGGCTCACTACATGACTGCACCCAATTTGAAAAGTTTTATACAAATTTATTATTACAATACAATAACCCTCCCTCCCTCCCCAACCCTCCCCCCCTCACTTCCCAGAGCTGATTACAGGGTTAAAAATAAGCAAACAAATTCTAACTAAGCTTATCCAACTATACCAATAACCAAATCCCTAAAATACTTTAACTCAAATACAAACAACTCCCAATTTAAACTATAAGTTAATCAAAAACTAAATGATACTTTCTAATCCCATATTTATTCTGTACAAAATTTATCCATCTTCTCCATCTTTTATATTTCTACACGTCCACCAAATATGATAATAGGTTGCATCCAAGCAACCACCTCTCCAACACTTAGGCTGTAAATTAGGATACAGATGAGACAATTTTTGTGGATCCAAATGCCACTTATAAAACATTTTATAAAAATTTTCTCGTAAATTTTGAGCCTGAGTAGACTGCACCCAATTTTGTGATCTTGTTTACAGCAGTCAATGTCACAGTCACTGAATCCACCATTTTAGCCAATGGGTCTTTTTTTTTGCCAGAAGTTTAAAAAGTTTGTTTCCGGCAAAATGAACCCAAATCGCAGTTATGTGACTACAGGTTGTTGCAAACAACTACCTGTGTTTCCCTGAAAATAACAGTAGGTCTTCTATTAATTTTTGCTCCAAAAGACGCATTAGGGCTTATTTTTCGGTTAGAGCGTATATTCGCGGAAACACGGTACTAAATGCACCCATCGATCTTAACTGGGGTTTATTTTGGGGGTGGGGCTTATATTACGAGCGTCCTGAAAAAATATTGCTGGGGCTTATTTTCCGCTGGGGTCTTCTTTTTGGGGAAACCCGCTATAAAGATGGGCCGATTGTCAAGTTGCCCAAATAGGATCATGTGATCCCGGAAGGGGTGGGGTGAAGGGGAGTAGTGACCGTCAGAACTTGGAAACAGAATCATAAATAACTCTAGGAAGATCCATTGTAAGTTTGAACGGCCGCTAAGTGGTTAGTCATAAGTAGAGGACTATCTGTATTCAGGAAGAAGGCAATGGTAAAGGTAGTCCTTGACGCATGACTACAATTGAGCCCAAAATTTCTGCTGTTAAGAGAAACATTGGTTAAGTGAGTTTTGCCCCATTTTACGACTCTTCCTTGCTACCACTGCGGTTGATAAGTTAGAGAACCCGGTCGTTAAGTGAATCTGGCTTCCCCACTGATTTTGCTTGTCAGAAGGTTCGCAAAAGGGGATCATAGGACCTTGAGACACAGCAACGGTCATAAGTATGAACCAATTGCCTAGCATCTGAATTTTTTTTTAAAAAAAAGTTTTATTGAGTTTTATAGGGTTAGGGGTAAAATAGGGTCAGGATAGGGGTTGGGGTTTAGGGTGGGGTTGAGATTAGGATTGGGATTGGGACAGGACTGGGGTCAACATTGGGATTATCCTCCAGTAATATTTTCAATACTTAGCAAAAACAGACTATTGTCCGGGTACATATATTTAGCTAACAATAGTTAATATAGTAATAGATAACTGTAATAAGTATAATAAACAGTAATCATAAACAGTATTAATTAATCAATACGTAACATTCTTCTTACTGGGATATATTCAAAATAATAACCCAGCAACGGTCATAAGTATGAACCAATTGCCTAGCATCTGAATTTTGATTCCACAATCATGGGGATGCTGCAAAGGTCGTAGGTGTGGAAAATGGCCCTGAGTCCAATTTTTGAATGCCACTGTAACTCTGTACGGTCGCTAAATGAACGGTTGTAAGTTGAGGACAACCTGTATAAACCTCATGGATAGTCATTCCAATTTGTTCTTTAAATGGCACGGATGTCCATGAGGTTACTAAGAGTCTAGCTATGCTCCAAAGGACAAAAAAAAAAAAGAACTCCAATTATTTGGACTTCAGTTCCCACAATGCTTTGCCTTTGTCTAGCCAAGCTAGTACTGATGAGAGCTGACCATGATGATAGTTAGAGCAGTGGTTCTCAACCTTTTTAATGCCGCGACCCCCAACTGGTCGTAAGTCGAGGACTACTCAACTGGTGCAGCACTGTTTGCAGAATGGGACTTTTGGCGGGCTCAGCAGGGCAGAGACAGCCTGGACAATTCCTATTGGCTTTTGAAAGCCAATAGAATTAGACTTTATTCAAGAGAGTCTATTCCATTGGCTTTCAAAAGCCAATAGAATAAAAGGGAGTAGCACATCTAAGGAAAAGGGGGGGGGGGAAATGGCGGACTGCGTTGTTTGGCGACCCCCGTGAAATGGTCGTTTGACCCCAAATGGGGTCCCAACCCACAGGTTGAGAACCACTGAGTTAGAGGGTGCCAGGTTGGGGAATGGCCAACTTGCTTCCTGCTGTCTCTGAAGGCGAATGTTTGTAGCTCACGGTTGAAATGAGGGGTCCCTGGTGCTCTCCGAGATAGTTTTTTTTTTTCTTGCAGACATCTCATTACCAAACTAGGTAACATCATCAGTGTTTGCCTCTGTTAATGAATACCTTTACCTTGGAAACAGAAGCTAGAGCTTTCATGGCATTTTGTTCTCGCAAAGAAGCTTCCTCCGTCCGGCGCAGAATATTCTAGACACAGAGGAAATAAAATAAGTTAGCACTGAGCAAAGGCCCTGAATCCAGAAGAGTTTGAATTGCTCTGGTCTTCAGCCAGAAAACCCGGGTCATCCCAATCATTAAAAACATTCCAAGCTGAAAAGAGGAATTTGTTGAAGTTCAAATAAATCCAGAGAGGACAAGCTGGTGCTGGACCATTACTGGAAATGTTGGACCAACCTGTTTGGGGTTTAAATTATAGGGGCAGAGTCAAATGTGAAACCTTTTGTACACTTCTGGTAGCATCCCATTCTCACAATCTAAAAAACCCTCCTCCAACTGGGTTTCTGACCGGCTCAGAAATCTGTGCTTCACACGGGAAAGAGGAGGACTTAAGGCGCCTAATTTGAAATTATACTATGACGCGGTGGTTTTAACATTGGTTAGTGATTGGCTTAATTTAACAAATAAAAGTATACTTCATCTTGAGGGATGGGATTTATTATATGGGTGGCATGCATACTTAATTTATAACAAAAAAGTTGACCAAGCTTTTAAATCTCATATTTTAAGAAGTGCTTTATTGCGTGTCTGGAAGAAGTATTATTATAAGTTAAATTATAAAATACCAATCTGGGGGATTCCTGGACACGTGATAGAGGGGGTATCTATGGGTATGAATTTGGATAGTATTTCTTATAAGGAACTACTTAGATTGGTAGGGAATGATTGGCAATTAAAATCGTTAGTTGAGTTAAGGCAGTGTTTCTCAACCTTGACAATTTTAAGGCATGTGGACTTCAATTCCCAGAATTCCACAGCCAGCATTGTCAAGGTTGAGAAACACGAGTTAAAGCAAGAAAATATTGTAACTCTGTACTCAGCTCTGGGAAGTGGGGGAGGGAGAGGGGGGGGTTTAGGGTGGGTGGGTTTTGGGGTGTATACTAATTTTTATAAAACTTTTATGAATGGGCTTCTCTGCCCAAGAAGGACTCTCTGATTGGGGGCCAGAAATCATCTCCCCAGGAAAATGAAAAATAATGAAAACAATTGGATTAGTTCCCCCCCCCCAACACACACACTTCAAATTCCTGGCAGCTGGATCTTCATTTGCACCCAGAGGCAGAGACAGCACTGCTGCTCCATTTAAACCTGACTGCTGCCCCTTACATGGAGGATAAATTAAACCCAGGAGTATTTCAGTGGCTTAATTTCAATTAATTTGCAAAAGGTTTCAATAGTTCCTCTCCTCTTCCCAACCATGTGGAGAAGAGAAAGGGGGAGGAGGGACAGAGATGCTGAAAGTGGGAGAAAAGGCAGAAGAGGCCGAGGAAAAGGGAGGGATAAAATGGAAGGGATCAAGAGATGGCCAAAAGAAGAGGAAGGAAGGAAGGAAGGAAGGAAGGAAGGAAGGAAGGAAGGAAGGAAGGAAGGAAGGAAGGAAGGAAGGAAGGAAGGAAGGAAGAAAGGAAGGAAGGAAGGAAGGAAGGAAGGAAAAAAGAAAAAGGGAGAAAAGGGGGGAGGAAAAAGAAACAGGAGGAGGGGAAGAGAGAAATAGCAATATATATTTATATAGGTCTTTGGTTGTTCGGGTTTTCTCCCGCGTAAAATTGGAAGTGTCTTGGCAACGTTTCGACGAAGTCCCATTCGTCATCTTCAGGCTGGTGCTTTCAGCTTCGTGCTTCGAGGAGCAATGTGTGGTCTTAGCTGTTTCTTCCTTTTAACTGCCAGTGGGGGTATGAACTGATTGGGTGGGAGCTTGGCTGTGTTCTGATTGGGTGGAGGTGTGTTCTGATTGGTTAGGGGCGTGGCTGTGCTCTGATTGGCTGGTGGGTTGGCTGTGCTCTGATTGGCTGGTGGGTTGGCTGTGCTCTGATTGGCTGGGGGAGTGTTCTGTTTGGTTGTGCTCAGGTTAGTCTGAGTTGCAGGGGGGTTTAAGATTTTGGGCTGCCTTGCTATTTTTTGGCTTCGTTCGTGGTTGTGCCTCATCTTCATGGAGGGTGTCAGTTTGCTTCATGTATGGATTGGAGGGGTTTAAAGTGGCTAATGATGCAGCTGTGCTCTGGCTTCTGGTCATTAGCCACTTTAAACCCCTCCAATCCATACATGAAGCAAACTGACACCCTCAATGAAGATGAGGCACGACCACGAACGCGAAGCCAAAAAATAGCAAGGCAGCCCAAAATCTTAAACCCCCCTGCAACTCAGACTAACCTGAGCACAACCAAACAGAACACTCCCCCAGCCAATCAGAGCACAGCCAACCCCCCAGCCAATCAGAACACACCTCCACCCAATCAGAACACAACCAAGCTCCCACCCAATCAGTTCATACCCCCACTGGCAGTTAAAAGGAAGAAACAGCTAAGACCTCACATTGCTCCTCGAAGCACGAAGCTGAAAGCACCAGCCTGAAGATGACGAATGGGACTTCGTCGAAACGTCGCCAAGACACTTCCAATTTTACGCGGGAGAAAACCCGAACAACCAAAGACCTACATACAAACACCCGCGAAAACCTCAGAAAACATATATTTATATGTATATAGAGAGACAGAGAGACAGACAGAGAGAGACAAAGACAGAGAGAGACAGTGAGAGAGGGAAAGAAAGAAAGAAAGAAAGAAAGAAAGAAAGAAAGAAAGAAAGAAAGAAAGAAAGAAAGAAAGAAAGAGAGGGAGGGAGGGAGGGAGGGAGGGAGGGAGGGAGGGAGGGAGGGAGAGAAAAGGGGAGGAAGAAGAAGCAGGAGGAGCAGGAAGAAGGAAAGAGATAAATAGCAATATATATATATATATAGAGAGAGAGAGAGAGAGAGACAGACAGACAGACAGACAGAGAGAGACAAAGACACACACAGAGAGAAACAGTGAGAAAGAAAGGAAGGAAGGAAGGAAAGAAGGAGGAAGGGAGAGGAAAGAAAGAAAGAAAGAAAGAAAGGAAGGAAGGAAGGAAGGAAGGAAGGAAGGAAGGAAGGAAGGAAGGAGAATGGGAGACGAAAGAAAGAAAGAAAGAAAGAAAGAAAGGAAGGAAGGAAGGAAGGAAGGAAGAAAGGAAGGAAGGAAGGAAGAAAAAGAAAGAAAGAGAAAAAGGGAGAGAAAAGGGGAGGAAGAAGAAGCAGGAGGAGGAGGAAGAAGGAGAGAGAGAAATACACACACACACACACACACACACACATGTATCTATAGAGAGAGAGACAGAGACAAACACACAGAGAGAAACAGTGAGGAAGAAAGGAAAGAAGGAAGGAGGAAGGGAGGGGGGAAGGAAGAGAGGAAGGAAAGAAGGAAGGAAGGAAGGAAGGAAGGAAGGAAGGAAGGAAGGAAAGAGGAAGGGAGAAGAAAGAAAGGAAGGAAGGAAGGAAGGAAGGAAGGAAGGAAGGAAGGAAGGAAGGAAGGAAGGAAGGAAGGAAGGAAGGAAGGAAGTTCTAACCTTGGCTTAGAACTTCCTTTCCCAATCTGCTGATCTGCTCTCCCCAGGAAATGCCTTCCCTCCACCCAGAAGCCCCCTACTCTAGCTTTTTAGCATCCCAAATCCTTGGCTCCAAGACCACCCCTGGTCCTCACCTCCAAGAGCATCTTGATACGAGTGATCCTCTGGAAAGGAAGCAGCAAGAAAGACATGAAGGGGAGGCGTTGGCACTGGGGCTGCTCCTGGAGTCGGGTGACAACGATGGCAAACTGGGGGTTCTTCTCCCTAAGAGGGAAGAGAAAGGGAAGCTGCACCCAAGAGCAACAGGCCTGTACTGGTGGGGTAGAGTATCTGCTCACCCTTTGCTGTTCCCCTGCAGTGGTTCTAGGCCAGGGCTAGGCAACCTTGGCTCTTTTATGACTTGTGGACTTCAACTCCCAGAATTCCTGAGCCAGCCACGCTGAGGGGAAAGGGAGAGGTTTCCAAGCTGAGCCATGCTGGCTCAGGAATTCTGGGAGTTGAAGTCCACGAGTCATAAAGCGGCCTAGGCCTAGGCCAGAGGTAGGCAACCTCAGCTCTTTTATGACTCGTGGACTTCAACTCCCAGAATTCCTGAGCCAGCCACACTGAGGGGAAAGGGAGAGGTTTCCAAGCTGAGCCATGCTGGCTCAGGAATTCTGGGAGTTGAAGTCCACGAGTCATAAAAGAGCCAAGGTTGCCTACCCATGTTCTAGGCCAGTGTTTCTCAACCTTGATAATTTTAAGGCATGTGTACTTCAACTCCTAGAATTCCACAGCCAGCATTGCTGGCTGTGGAATTCTGGGAATTGAAGTCCACATGCCTTAAAATTGTCAAGGTTGAGAAACACTGTTCTAGGCCATCGCTAATACTCATTCCTCATTGGGAATGCTGGCTGGGGAATTCTGGGAGTTGAAGTCCACAGGTCTTAAAGTTGCAAGGTTGGTGATCCCTGGTTTAATCTGAGGGCTTCCTCGAAGCATCTGAGAAGTAGATGCTGGACTACACAGAAACACTTAACAAAGACTTTTTCCATGCACAGGTACATCCCTATCCACCATCCATGACAGGAAGAACAGTAAGAGCCGTGGTGACACAGTGGTTAGAATGCAGTACTGCAGGCTAACTCACTGCTTACTCTAGAACAGTGGTTCTCAACCTGTGGGTCGGGACCCCATTTGGGGTCGAATGACCATTTCACGGGGGTCGCCAAACAAGGCTGTCCACCATTTTTCCCTCTTTTCTTTGGCCACGCCCCTGGCACCCGGTGATGTATAAGTGGTTGAGGGTCACCACAACATGGGGAACTGTATTATGGGGTCGCGGCATTAGAAAGGTTGAGAACCACTGCTCTAGAAGTTCGATTCTGACCAGCTCAAGATTGACTCATCCTTCTGAGGTTGATAAAATGAGGACCCAGATTGTTGGGGGCAATACGCTGATTCTGTAAACCAATTAGAGAGGGCTGGAAAGCACTATGAAGCGGTAAATAAGTCTAAAGGCTATTGCTATTCTTCTTCTTGTGCCATATCGGACGTTGGCGATCCTGTTGGCGATCCTGTTTTTATCAGCAGCCGCACAAAAAATTTCTGCTGAGTTTTGTCCAAACCAGTCCCTTAGATTTTGAAGCCACGATGTTCTTCTTCTGCCTGGACTTCCTTTGCCTCTACTGCTATTACTAATGCTATTCCCACTTCAAAGGTGGGAGACTACAAGGATGGCCGTGATCAACTCCCGCAAGCTCTTCAGACAGGCTGAACTAATATCTTTTGCAATCTGAGCCAGCCCTTTGTACAGAACCCAAAATGGTGACCAGACTGCCAAATGAGGGGAAACTACAACTCCCAGAATTCTCAGCAAGGTCAACATTAGCTGGGGAAAACAGGCAAAGGGGTTTCTCCAAATAATTCCTCCACTCATTGGAATTCTTCACTCTCCCCAAGGACGGGTGGGCGGACTGGTTTTCCTTCCCTCCTCACTTACTCACATGAGGCTACTATAGGTCTTCTCCTGGTAGAGCTGGTTACGGACGTAATCAATGTAGACTGAGAAGCTCTGTTGAGCGTGATCCTCTACAATATCACAAACGTCTGAGATCTGCAGGCTTTCAGCCAACCGCCATTCCAGATCCTGTAAGAACCTGTCAAGTGGAAGAACTGGCATCAGAGATATGTGGAGCGTTCACAGAAGCATGAGCAAAAAAAGAGCAAGCTTGTTTTTCTCTAGACGGGGATCCACTTCCACCTTTTGAAGTTGGGAGGGGTAGCGATTAAACCGATGGTCGTACAGTTGGATAATTGATTAGCCTCCTGTTCATCACAGATGATCCCCCGCGATCAGAAGAACCCACTTGGGAGAGTGTGATTCCTTCTGAACGTGGTGATCAAGTCCTTTAGGAAGGCTGACAGCGAATTGGGAATTCTGTGATTGGCTACCTTCAATCTTGAGAATGCATTCCAGGGCAATGCAGAGTGGAAGAAAGATGGGAAGAGAAGGGAACTGACCTTTCGCTGACTTCTTGGACTTTGCGTATGTTGGAGAAAAGAATGCGGTGCTCGCGCAGAAGGATGGTGCCAGCCAGCTCCCGAGACTCCATGAAGTGCTCGATCAGAAGGGTGAGCGAGCGTAGGTAAGAGGCTTCAGAGGTCACCACCTCAAAGAGACTCTGACCACAGATGCCAAGAACCACAAAGAAGGCAGAATGAGTGACAAAGGCAGAAAGAACCCGATAGACATGAATGAAATAAAGCACGGTGAGCATTACGTTCTGGGCAGCTTCTCTAAATTTATGAGGTCTTGACTTGCCCCTTATCAAATCTCATTCTGGTTCTGCACCCTGGAGGTGTGTTTGAAGACCGCCAGGAAGTAGCTGAGCTCTTTCTGGACACAGGTTTAGCGGTAATCCAAAAGAGCCCTAAATCCACGTTCAAGGGCAGTCTAAACCAGGAATCCCCAAACTCCGGGCTGCAACCCGATGCTGGGCTGTTCAGAACTGGGTGTCATGGTTCCGACAGATGAAACTCTTCAAAGAACTTTGAGGCATTGTTTACCTTAAAGAATCTTTATTCGAGCAGCATAGCATCGGCACATACATAACCGAAGCCAAAATCTGGATTCCCCTCCCCTTAGCACAGTGGTTCTCAACCTGTGGGTCGGGACTCCACTTGGGGTCGAACGACCATTTCCCGGGGGTCGCCAAACAACGCAGTCCGCCATTTTTTTCCCCTTTTCCTTAGCTGTGCTACTCCCTTTTATTCTATTGGCTTTTGAAAGCCAATAGAATAGACTCTCTTGAATAGAGTCTAATTCTATTGGCTTTCAAAAGCCAATAGGAATTGTCCAGGCTGTCTCTGCCCTGCTGAGCCCGCCAAAAGTCCCATTCTGCAAACGGTGCTGCACCAGTTGAGTAGTCCTCGACTTACGACCGGTTGAGTAGTCCTCGACTTACAACTGGTTGGGGGTCACGGCATTAAAAAGGTTGAGAACCACTGCCTTAGTACATAATATTAAACTCAATTCCCTCCTCTAACATTGGATGTTCTTGCTCTGACACCGGGCCATGCTAGTGGCAGGTGAGTACACACACGCAGCTGCACTTCCGTGACCAGCACACAGACGTGCTTTCGCACACAGCTCCATTTGTGCACCTGGCAGGCCCACGGGCCAACCACCTGCACAAATGGAGCTGTGTGTGCGCACGCGTGCACAACTGCTGCTCGCACAGAACCCTCCCCTCCCCCCATCCGGTTTCTCAAGCCAAAAAGATTGGGGACCGCTGGTCTAAACAACACTGAATAGACACACCAGAAGAATTGACAAATCATCTATTTCCCCTCTCACCAAACGGTCAGCCAACGTTCAGACTGATTCAAGTCTCCAATTTGGGGATCAGCTGATAAATTCGATGGTAAAGAGCAAGACCCTTTTTTTTAAAGAATAGTCCTCAGGAATCTTCACCAGATAAGTGGACAGAGCAAGGCTCAGAGTCTGCCCCTTAAGAAGGATCACCTACTTGCAATATAATACAAGCAGGCCTCAACTTACAATCACAACTGGAACCGGAATTGCAGTCATAAGTTGTTATGGTCATAAGTTGAGGCGCCCACATGATTTTTTTTTTTATATTTTTACAGCAGTCATTAAGCGAATCCTGTGATCATTAAGTGAATTCACTCTCCCGAATGGGTGTTTTTTTTTTTTTTTTGCAGAAAACTGGCAAAACTTTTATGACAGTCGGAAGTATTTTACGGGGCATTCAAAACCCTTTCTGAGGCCATTGTAAGCTGAGAACTACCTGTAGTAGATGAGTCAGATTTTACCCATGGGAAAATTGCAACAGATTGTTGGCTGTTTAAAGGAGATAACACAATACCAGCAAGAGATGGAACAAGATATATCCTGTATCCTGAGGATACAGCAGGAAAAAAACAAGTCACCAGGACATATCTGTGCTTGGGAGTGGCTCTTATTTTGCTTTATTCCATCACTAACACAATTTACAATTACAAGTGTCTCATTATGGGGGGAGGGGAAAATCAGAAAGTTTGGACTCCAGCACAAAATTCATCTCCACCATTCAGATACACAGTCTCCCTACTGCCACGTTAGTTGGAAAAATAATATTAATCTGCTGAAATAGCTCGAGTCGTAATTCATTGGTGAAACACCCAGTCCCAAACTGCCAATAAGGATGACTCTGAACTTAAAATGATCTCATTTTCTGAGGGAAAAGAACCCTACCAACACAATGTACAACTCCTCCGTGTATTCGCTGCATGTTTTGATCGTTCTCAAAGCAGAATACCAGAAAGGACCGTGGAGGTCATTTAGTCCAACCCCCCTGCTCAGGCAGGAAACCCTATATCATTTCGGACAAATGGCTGTCCAATCTCCTTAAAAAAAAACTCCAGTGGTTGGAGCACCCACAACTTCTGGAAGCAAGTCATTCCACTGATTTAATTGCTCAGGAAATTTCTGAAGCATTTCAGACACCTCAAATTCAGTCTGATGGGGAAAAGGGGCGTTGTCTTACCTGAACGCCTTTTCTCAGCAGGATGATGTAGAGTCCAAATGGATGGGTTCTATGACGGCCTTCCTGCCTGGCAGACTGGGTAAAACTTCGGCCACACCCCTTCCTTTGGGCGTGACCCCAGTTTTGACTTAGGCGAGAAACTTTGTTGGAATTAACCTTGCAGCTCTTTATTATATCTTTATTATATCCCTGCCTAGACCTATCCTCTGGGTGGGCTTGGACTCTACATCATCCTGCTGAGAAAAGGCGTTCAGGTAAGACAACGCCCCTTCTCCAGCAGGATGACTGTAGAGTCCAAATGGATGGGACATACCAAAGCCCTCATGTCCCCCTGGGAGGGAATGTCTAGGCTACCGAACTCTGAGCAGATACGACCTGTTGAAGAACTCTTCTGCCAAAAGCCGCGTCTGCTGCTGCTAGGGAGTCTAAACGGTAGTGTCGAATGAAAACCGAAGGTGAGGACCAGGTTGCGGCCCTGCAAATCTCTTCCACCGGAGCTTGCGTTAGCCACGCCGCAGATGTGGCTGCGCTCCGAGTTGAGTGGGCAGTCACCTGAGTGGGTGCTGGCAAATCCTGTGAGACGTAGGCCTGCGCTATGCAGGCTCTGATCCACCTGCCTATGGTGGAAGAAGATACCTTCTTTCCCATAGTTGATGGTTGAAAGGACACAAATAATGCTTCAGTCTTTCGGAAAGCCGAGGTGCGTTTCACGTAGAAACACAGTGCTCTCCGTACGTCTAGCTTGTGCCATCTGTGTTCTAGCTTATGTTTGGGTCTTGGACAGAAATCAGGAAGCGTAAGTTCCTGAGGTCTGTGAAAGGTGCTATTTACCTTCGGGATGAAGGTCGGGTCTGGTCTAAGAACGACCCTGTCTTTGAAAAAGGTACACAGATCCTTCCTTACTGACAGAGCTGCTAGTTCTGAAATTCTCCTTGCCGAAGTAATTGCCACAAGGAAAGCTACCTTCAGTGATAGGTGATGGAGTGAGCATGTTTCAAGAGGTTCGAAGGGTGCAGATGTCAAGGCTAGAAGGACCCTAGGCAGGTTCCAGGACGGGTACCTGTGTATGACTGGGGGCTTTGTGTTAGACGCCCCTTTTAAGAAGGCATTAATCGCTGGATGTTGTGCTAGGGAAGTTAAGTTGTCGCAGGAGAGTACGGTTGAGAGGGCCGAAATCTGTCTGCGGATGGTATTGACTGACAGGCCCCTATTAAGACCCTCCAATAGGTAGTCTAGGATATTGGGGATAGATACTGCGGTCGGGTCTAGGTGAAGCGAAGCGCACCACCTGCAGAATCCCTTCCATGTAGCGTCGTAAATCCTATTGGTGGACGCCCTTCGTGATGCCTGTATGATCGATATCACCCCTGCAGAATAAGATTGTTTAGTTAAGCTTTGCCGCTCAAATGCCAAGCGGCTAGTTGTAGCCACTGGGGATCTGGGTGTACAAGCTTGCCCTGACTGAGTTTTACCCTGTCCGGGGGAATCCTCCACGGAGGTGATATCGAAAGGTCCACGAGGTCGGCAAACCACGGGCGCCGTGGCCAGTGAGGGGCAATGCAGACCATTTCTGCGCCCTCCAGGATCATCTTGCGTATGGTTGCCGGTATTAGTGGCAGCGGTGGGAAGGCGTACAGGAGTTGCGCCGGCCACCGGCACCTGAGAGCATCCGTTCCCTCCGATCCCGGGGACGGGAATCTGGAGAAGAACCTGGGGAGTTGTGTATTCTTGTGGTTGGCAAATAGATCTAGGTGCGGTTGTCCGAACCTCCGGGAGATCTCCTCGAAGAGAGCCGGGTCCAGACGCCATTCCGACTGGTCCACCTTGGCTCTGCTCAGGGAGTCCGCCTGGGTGTTTGTTTCCCCTGAGATGTGTTCCGCTCTGATGGAACTCACATTGGCTTCTGCCCACCGAGCCAGAACCAATGCTTCTTTCATTAGTTCCACTGATCTCGTTCCTCCCTCCTTGTTTACATGTGCCTTGGCTGCTACATTGTCTGTAAGCACGAGGACGTGTCTCCTCGTTACTAGGTGTGAGAAATGACGGAGGGCCAGGTGTATGGCCCGGAGCTCTAGCCAGTTGATGCTGTGTGACAGGTCCTTTTGACCCCACTGGCCCTGTGCTATCTGGGTCCCCAGATGGGCTCCCCATCCGAACAGGCTCGCATCTGTCGTGAGCGTGACCCTGTTCGGTTCCCTGAATATGCTCCCCTTGAGTGTCATGGGGGATAGCCACCATTTTAGTGATTTCATCACCTGTGCTGGTACCAGCACACTCCTGTTGGAGGTGCTGAGGTTCCTCCTCTGGTAGGGTAGGAGGAACCACTGCAACTCCCTCGAGTGGAGCCTTGCCCATGGGATGATGCCCATGCAAGATATCATCTTTCCCAGGAGCTTCGAGAGTTGTAGCAAGGGCACTCTCCTGATCTTTTGAATTTGGTGGATTAGCTTGGATATGCTGATCAGTCGCTCCTGGGAAAGGAATACCCTGCACTGTGACGTGTCTATCACCGCGCCCAGGTGTTGCAGTCTCCTTGAGGGAATGAGGTGGCTCTTGTTTAGATTGACCGAAAATCCGTGCCCCTGTAGGGTTCGGATTGTGGTCTTGAGATCTGTCCTTGCTTGTTCCCGAGATCTGGACTGAATCAAGATGTCGTCCAGATAAAACTGGACGCGAACCGGAATCAACCTGAGATGGGCCGCTAGTACAGCTAAGATCTTTGTGAATACCCTTGGTGCTGACGACAGTCCGAAGGGTAATGCCCTGTATTGGTAATGTCGCCCCGCGTAGGTAAATCTGAGGAATTTCCGGTAGCTGGGGTGGATGGGGATGTGTAGGTACGCCTCTGTGAGATCTATTGAGGATAGTAGATCGTCTTCCCTGACGCTGGCTAGTATGGACTTTAAGGAGTGCATCTTGAACCTCCTGTACTTTATGAAATAGTTCAGGCCCTTCAGGTCCAAGATTGCTCTCCACCCTCCTGATGTCTTTGGGATGACGAAGAGGATAGAGTAAAATCCTCTTCCCTCCTCCTCCTTTGGTACCTTCTCTATGGCCTGAATTGACAGGAGGTGGACTATAGCCGAAGTTATCAGCCTCGTCTTGTGTGCTCTTCTGGAGATGGGACATCTGATGAACCGGTTTGGTGGGGGAGAGCAGAAGTCTAAGGTCAGGCCATGTCTGATCGTTTCCAGGACCCAGGAGTCGGTCGTGGTCTGCTCCCAGACCCTGATGAAATTTCCTAACCGACCCCCAATGGGAGTATCCTGTTTGGCGTCACTTGGTGCGTTTAAAGGATCTGCCTCCCGCTCCCCTATATGGGCGTCTGGACTGGAACTGGCCCCTGGCTCCCGGGCTCTGGCGATCCTGGGTTCGATCCTGTCTGGGGTAGAAGGATCGTGAGCCTCTGGGCCAGTCCCAGGATTGCCCTGATCGAAAGGGCTGCCTCCATTCCCAGGGGCTTCCTGGGCGGGAACCCTGTCTCCGGAAGTCCTGACTGCCTCTCCTGTCTAACTTCTTTGATGGGTGTACTAGGATTTTTTTCTTGTCTCTGCCTTCGCTGACATGTGGGTCCAGAATGGAACCAAATAGGTCTACTCCACTGTATTTGGACGTCGAAAGACGCCATTTGGACCTCAGGTCTGTCTTCCAATTTTTGAGCCATAGTAGCCTACGTGAGGCCACTGTGGCCGCAATGGATCTAGCCGCATACTTTGTTGCGTACAGTGAAGCGTCTGAGACAAATTGCGAGGCCGCGAGGAGCTTGGCCAATGTTTGGTGTATTCTGACCTGGTCTGGAGGCACCGTGCCTTGCAGTTCCCTCAGCCACATGATGCTGGCCCTCGCGAAGAAAGATGAGGAAGTGGCTGCTCTGGCCGCCCAGGCTGCAGCCATATGGGAACGCCGGAGTGAGTGTTCAAATTTCTTCTCCTCAGGCCTCAAGACCTCCGCCATGTCTCCTGGAATCGCGGAGGTAGAAAATAATGAGATTAATGGGTTATCGACAGTGGGAACCTCTAACATGTTAGAGAAGGAGGGAGATAGATTGAAAAGCTTTCTTTCCGCGCTGTTTGGTGCCGGTGGGCTTGCAAGTGAGGACCATTGTTCCTCCAGCGTGGTCATGAAGACCTCCGCACATGGGATGTACTTATCTTGTGGAACCTTTTTGGCAAACAGAGGATTGGCCTCCTTGCTTGTTGAGGGCTTCTCATCCTGTACTGATGTTAGGTTGACTGTGGAAACAGCCTTTACCAGGAGTGATTTTAGGAGCGCTGGGTTAAAGAGTCCAGAGCTCGTTGCCTGCTCAGGTGCCGTCTCCTCGTCCTCCGAGAGGGGCATGTCTGACATGTCGAGGTCCACTGAGTCACCCTCTCCCAGTTGAGAGGAAGTTTCAGAGGTGCTGGTAGGGGGTGGCCTAGCCCGACCCTTACGGGGTGTGTGAAAGGCCACTTGTCCCTTAGAAGCCATGAACTGGGAGAATGCATCCTGCATGAATGCATGGAATTGTGCCGACCAAATGCCCTCCTGCGCTTTGTCGTTAGAGTGAGGCGCTGGGGTGCGGTCGGGTGAAGAAGCTGGTGAGGAGGGGTTGGAGGAGTCTAACTGTTCAGTTTCCCCAGGAGGAGACCAAGTCTTAAGCACTTCCTCGGCAGTAGGGTCTGTGCTGGGTGCCACCGCTGGGACAGGGGAAACCGAATTTGTCCCATTGGCATTGGTTCTCTGTGCCCTGCTAATTTGTCTTTCTAAAGCCAAATGTCTCCTCAAAGCCTCTCGCTCAGCCGTTTTAGACTGTCCCTTCTGAGAAAGGTGTTTTGTTTTAGCTTTCTTCTTCCCCCCCACCTCAGATTCAGAAGATCTGCGTTTTTGTTGTTGCTGTGGGGGGGACAATTGAGGGACCTGTGTGACTGAATACGAGACATTGTCTGCCATTGTGCCAGACACCCCGAGTAGGTAGTGCCTGGAGTGGGGGACAGGATACGCAGATCAGATGCAGATGTTTGGGGCTGAGCCCTCCTCTGCCTATACAAACAATGGCCGGACAGACAGGAGTCTTTGGACAGAAGATCCTGCAAGGCAGTGACTAAAGGTCACTATAGGAACAGTCAGAGAAAAATACTCCTCCTCACCTCCTCACTTAGTCCAGAGAAAGTGCAGTTTATACCTCTCTCTCCCCCTGTCTGTGGCTGTGGCAGCAGACCACGATCAGAAAGGGTTCTCTTCCTTTTCCCTCTTCCTTCCTCCTGTCTCAGTTTCTTGCGATAATCCCGGATTTTAGCTTAAGGGCTGCCCCTTTGTCTGCAAAGGAATGGAGTCCGGATGGCCCCGCCCCCAAGGGAAAACGGCGGGAAGGTCCGTTCGCTCAAAATGGCGAATGGGGAAGAAACCACGCCTCCTAATGTTAGCCCGGGAATCCACGAGGTTCAAACAATGGCGGATCTTTGACTCTGAGGCTCTCGCGCCGCTCCGCTGGTCTATGCCGAGCGGCGCCGCGGTTTAGCCGCTTTCCGCGCGGCTCAGCTGTTTCGCGCTGAGCGGCGCCTCGTTCTATCGGCCCCAATCACGCTTTCCGCGCGGCTCAGCTGTTTGGCGCTGAGCGGCGCCTCGTTCTATCGCCCGAACCGCTCAGCTGTTTGGCGGCCCCGGAGAGCGGCGAGCAATCCGGTAGTGAAACCCCCGCCCCAACAGCTGCTCGGTGGGCCGGTTATCGGCGGGCGAGCGATCCGGTCCGGCTCCAAGCCTCCCGTTAGTCCCTGACGCCCCACTCACGAATCCGCCGATCCCGGCTGCCTCTCTCGAGTCCTATCCGCTGCCAGACAAATTTTCGTTCAACTGGAGGAAGAGGGGATTCCCTTTTTTTTTTTTTTTTTTTTTTTTTTTAAGTTAAGTTAGTTTGTTCTGAGAGCTGCTTCTCGCACTTCTACCAGGCTTCGAGACTGAGTCAAAACTGGGGTCACGCCCAAAGGAAGGGGTGTGGCCGAAGTTTTACCCAGTCTGCCAGGCAGGAAGGCCGTCATAGAACCCATCCATTTGGACTCTACAGTCATCCTGCTGGAGAACGCCTCTCTACCTAAAGTCCTGTCAGAGTTACCTCCTGCATTTTCCTTTCTTCTGGGCTGATGTTTTCCAAAACGCCACTTTCTCGTACAGCGGGCAGCTCCTGCCAAAGGGTGCTATGAGGGATGGAGCCCTGGGGCCCCATCGACCCTTCGCCAGGAGAAGGGGCTCTGTAGTCCGAGCTGCTGAAACTACTGTTGCGGGGAACCGTTTGCCTCTTGATCTCTTTGGAGATGACAGCCTGGCGATACGTTTGATACAAAGGCTCTGTGCAAGACATCAGAAGGCAGAGAAAGACACAACACAATGAACCTTGGTTGGGGAATAACATGCCACACCCACACACCTCGACTGACGGCCAGAATTGAGCCCAAAATGTCTTTTGCTAAGCGAGAGAGTTGTGCAGTGAGTTTCGGCCCATTCTACGACCTTTCTTGACACAGTTGCTAAGTGAATCACTGCCGTTGGTAAGTTAGCAACGCAGCGGCTAAGTGAATCTGGCTTCCCCATTGGCTTTGCTTGTCAGAAGGTCTCAAAAGGGGATTGCATGATCCTGGGACACTGCAATTGTGTCATAACTATCCGCCAGTTGTCAAGCATCCAAATTTGTGATCACGTGACCACGGGGATGCGGCAAACGGTTGTGTGAAAAATGGTCATAAGTCACTTTTTTCAGTGTTGTCGTAACTTCGAATGGTCACTAATTAAAGGTTGTAAGTCGAAGAAAACCTATCCTTCATAAAAAAAAACAACCCCATCAAGATTGCAATCATCCAGTTTTGGCCTAGGGTTCTGAGAAAGCTGTCAGTTTCTTGTTGACATTGTAAGTGTATCTGAAAAACCATTTTGACTTGTGTAAAGTAAAGGGTACAGTGCAGTGTTTCTCAACCTCAGCCATTTAAAAATGTGTGGACTTCAACTCCCAGAATTCTCTAGCCAGCATTGCTGGCTGTGGAATTCTGGGAGCTGACGTCCCCACAGCTGAACATAGCTGAAATTGAGAAACTTTGTGGTAGCTGGCTGTGGAATTCTGGGAACTGAAGTCCACACATAGTTGAAACTAAAGATTGTATTGATTGATATTGATTCATTCATTGATTGTCTGATTGATTGATTATTTGCCATCAAGTCATTTCTTACTCTTCTGCAAAATATATTCTGGGGCTATAATTTTATTTTCCAATTATCATGTTTGGGATTGACGGTGGACTTCTGGGAATTGAAGGCCACACATAGTTGAAACAGAATTGCATTGTTTGATATTGATCGTTTGTTTGATTGATTGATTATTTGCCATCAAGTCATTTCTTACTCTTCTGCAAAATATATTCTGGGGCTATAATTTTATTTTCCAATTATCATGTTTGGGACTGACGGTGGACTTCTGGGAATTGAAATCCACACATAGTTGAAACAGAATTGCATTGTTTGATATTGATTGTTTGTTTGATTGATTGATTATCTGCCATCAAGTCATTTCTTACTCTTCTGCAGAATATATTCTGGAGGTATAATAATTTTATTTTCTAATTATCACCTTCAGATTGCAAAGAGTTTAAGAAAACCTGGTTTTCATTGTTGCTATTTTCTGATCTGGGTACTATTTGTATGAATAAAGTGCTTTTTTCCCTAATTAATCTAAGGCAGTTATTCTTCTGGACTTCAAGAATTCCCCAACCAGCATAGCTGGGAGTTAAAGTCCATACATCTTAGAATCGCCAAGATTGCAAAACACTGGATTAGAGTATGCCAAAGGAGACAATCCTTTAATTCCTGGCTGGGGAATTCTGGGAGTCCACATATTTTAAAATGGCTGAGGTTGAAAAACACTGGCATAGTGAGTTCTTAGGAATGTCCCCAGCACATGGTCTTCACATCTAGCCCCTGTAAGTGAACTTTAAAAACCTAAAGAAGGAAATTCAAATGAGTAACTATTAGGGCAGTGTTTCCCAAACTTGACAATTTTAAGGCATGTGGACTTCAACTCCCAGAATTCCACAGCCAGCAACGCTGGCTGTGGAATTCTGGGAGTTGAAGTCCTCATGCCTTAAAATTGTCAAGTTTGGGAAACACTGTATTAGGGAATGGTAGCACAAGCATTTAGCAATGAGGCAGCACCCTAAACAGGGCTTTTAAACCATCTCAGCAGTGAACTATGCCTTCAGGCTAGCATTTCTCAACTTTTCATATTTGTGGACTTCAACGCCCAGTCTTTCCCAGCCAGCATCCACACATCTTAAAGTTGAGAAACACCCCTTTAGGAAATGGGAGAGAATTTCACAAGGGATTTCAGAAGAAGGAAAAGAAATTGAGTCAGAGGCTGTTCGGTGTCTGTAACTGCGTCAATTTTCCTGGGTTTCTCTTTGCTCTCAATTTTTTTTTTTTTTAAATAAATGTGCGGTCCACTTACCATCCTGCAAGCAAAGCCCCCAGTCTGGACTCTTAGACGGTAGCACCGAAGAGTGCCTGTGATATAGGGGTAAAACAGAAAAAGCCAACGATAAGCAATCCTAAGAGCAGATCAATTCTGCAGTTGTTGATTTGGCTAAGAAGCTTGTAAGTCCACATTTGGAGCAAAGCTGGAGGAAAAAAAATAGAAGTAAGAAACTGCACACCTTTTGCACAAATGGCATTCTTGGTTTGTGGATTTTAAATTCAATTCGCACTTTATATCCAAAGTCATCTTATGGAGGGCTTTTCAACCTTTTCACCTATTGTACCACTTTTAGGATATGGCAACATCCGAGAACCACCAGTCACCTAGCAAGGTGTCAAAAACTTGATGACCAAAAAAAAAAAAAGGAAAAAGTGATAAAGTACAGGTAGTCCTCGATTTACAACAGTTCGCTTAGTGACTGTTCGAAGTTACAATGGCACTGAAAAAAGTGCCCCCCAAGCCACGGCCGAGCAAGATATCTGCCTGCCCACGCTCTTCCTCCTGTCCAAGGTTTTCATTGCTGTGAGCATTTCTGTTGAGAATTGGCAGCAGGGGTGGGGTGGGGGGTATTTGGTTTTTATTCCCCCTCCATCTGCTGGGTGGTTGCAGCAGGTTTTGGTCACTTCACATGACCCTGGGACACTGTGACCGTCATAAATATGAATCAGTTGCCAAGCATCTGAATGTAAATCACAAGACCCTGGAGATGCTGCAACATTCCAGCTGATCGGTGCTTCTTCTGGGCTCAGCAGAAGCGCCAGGATCAGTGCTGCTTTCCAGCTGATTGGTGCTTCTTCAGGGCTCAGCAGAAGCACCAGGATCAGCGCTAAGCTACAGCTGGAGCCTGGCACTGATCCTGGTGCTTCCACTGAGCCCTGACAGCCCCGAAGAAGCGCCGATCAGCTGGAAAGCGGTACTGATCCTGGCGCTTCCACTGAGCCCTGACAGCCCTGCAGCTCCAGCCATCTCTCACTCAGGCTTGTGCAGTGCTGCTACCAGTTCAGCTCATTCCCCTCCCCCGCTGCCATTTTTCTAGGATGGTCGCGTACCACCTGCCAGGTGCCAATGTACCACAGGTGGTACCCGTACCACTGGTTGAAAAGCCCTGATCTTATGTCTTAACATAGTAGATAAGCACCTAAAAAACATTAGGTAACTCAAGCAAGCTGAGCAGGGTTGAGGCAGATAGCTACTTGGATGGGATACCACTAAGAAGTCCTAGCATTGGAGATTATACTGGGAAGAAGGTATTTGCAAACCATTTCCATACTACTATTTAGAAAAGTACTGTAGACAGATAGTCCTCAACTTACAATAATTTGCTTAGTGACCGTTCGAAGTTACAACCGTACTGAAAAAAGGAATTTATGACCGTTTTTCACAGTTATGACCTTTGCACCATCTCCGATCATGAGATCAAAATTCAGATGCTTGGCAACAGATTCATATGATTGCAGAGTCCAGGGATCACGGGATCCCCTTTTCCGACCTTCTAACAAGCAGTCAATGGGGAAGCCAGATTCACTTAGCAACCATGTTAACTTAAGAACTGCAGCGTTTCACTTAACCACTGTGGCAGGAAAAGTCGTAAAATGGGGCAAAACCTAACACTTAACAAGTATCTCGCTTAGCAACAGAAATTTGGGCCTCAATTGTGGTCGTAGGGTTGAGGACTACCTGTACAGATGTGTCCACAAAATCATCAGGAGTCTGACTCAAACTGAGCAAGTAATTAAATATAGTCCTTGATTTACCACTACGGCAGTGTTTCCCAAACTTGACAATTTTAAGGCATGTGGACTTCAACTCCCAGAATTCCACAGCCAGCGTTGCTGGCTGTGGAATTCTGGGAGTTGAAGTCCTCATGCCTTAAAATTGTCAAGTTTGGGAAACACTGCACTACGGGATCCGAATGTCCATTGCTAAGGAAGGCGTTTGTGAAGTGAGTCGTGCAGTTTTACAAACTGTTCAAGACATTTACGAAGTTCGAGATTTTTTTTTTTTTTTGCCGTGGTGGTGAAGTGTCTCCCTGCAGTTGTTAAGTGGATTATGCAGTGGTTAAAGCTTCCCCTGTTGACTGAGCTTGTTGGAAACCAGCTGAGAGGGTTGCAAATGGCGATCACATGATCCCAGCATGGTGCAACCATTGTAAATACAAGCAGCCAAATTTTGATCACGTGACTGGGGATGCTGTGATGGTCATAAGCGTGGGACTGGTTGTAAATCACTTTTTTCAGCGTCATTGTAGCTTTGAAAGGTTCCTAAATAAATGGTGGGAAACTGAGGCCAACCCATATTTTAAACTGGTGCTTAAATCTTCATCCAGCATCAAACAGAGAACCTTGAATATAGGATAAACCCTCTTGGTTTTCCCCCAAATTTTTAATTTTGATGTCACTGGGAAGATTTTTTGTTTTTGTTTTTGCTGCTAATGCTTTAGAAAATCCCATGAATTCAAGAAATCAGAAACAGAGATGTTCAAAACCACAAATGCTCTATTCCTTCTCTGGACCTTCCTTCCTCATCAAATTACTTTCTTAATAATTACTTAATTTGTAACGCTTGTTTGACAGCAATGATTAATATATACTCTTTCCCTCATGAAAATCCTTTTCAAATAATTAGAGAAAATATCTGTTCCCCTATTCTTGTGCCAGACAAGCAATAATCAAAATTCATAGTCTTGAAGAACATTTGAAAGCTCTCTTTTTTATATATATCTTTCTCTGTATAAATCTGTTATTTAAGAAGAATACAGTGAATAACTGACAGATTATATTCCAGGGCATCAAAGAGCTGAACAACATGGCCATCACTGGCACCTCCAGTGGGAGAATGGGCTGATAGGTTTGGCATATCTAGTCCAACAAGCTAAGAATTTTGCTAAAAGTAAGCAACCTGTGCCACATAGGGCCATTTCAGAGATATTTCTTTATTGAAACAGAGAAACAGAATAAACACAAGCAGCCAAAACAGCAGTGTAACCAACTTCTGACTTCCTGCTGGCTTCCCCATGGACTTTCCTTGCAGGAAGCTAGCAAGGAAAGGTGGAAATTAACGATCAAGTGACTGTGGCTGACGCAGCAGTGTGTTGGCGTGGCAGCACTGAAGCAGCCATTTCTTTGCCAAATTTCGGTCCCACAGGAGTCCTGGGTCAGAATGACAGAATGACCATGGATGGGGAAAAAACCAGTGGCAGGAGGAGTGACTTCCAATTTCCCACTGGTTTCCCCACTGAGTTTCCTTGTAGGAAACCGGGAGGGAGCGTTGGAAGTGATGATCACTTCATCATGGCTGACTGAGGCAGGACTGAAGCGGCCACAATTTTGCCACATTTCAATCACAGGGGAGTCATGGGTCTCAGACTGCAGTTGCATTTTGTAAGTTAACCCATTTGAAGTATATTGATTCAAAAATTATTGCCCTATTTTCACCTTTCCCTCCTAGCTTTCTGCAAGGAAAGTCCATGGGGAAGGCAGCAGGAAGTCAGAAGTTAGTTCCACTGCTGTTTTGACTGCTTTGGTTAATCTGTTTCTCTGTTTTAGTAAGCAAATATCTCTGAAATGACCGAATGGATTGCCTACTTTTAGCAAAATTCTTAACTTGTTGGACTAGGTACACCAAACCTACTAGCCCATTTGTCCTACTAGAGAGGCCCATTTCAACCAATTGAAGGATACAAACATTCAGACATGAGAGCTTTGGTAATATATAACCATATTTCTAGATGGTAGAGCAACTGCTTACAACTGCAAAAAGCAAAATTTCTGTGGAACAAATGGCATAGGAGCACAAGCTAATATCAGCTTCCATAGCTTTTATTCTATTTTCTCCTTGTTCAGAAGTTATAAATCCTCCAGAGATAATGATCAATTGATATTATCAAGACACAGGTAATCCTCGACGTACGACTACAACTGAGCCCAACATTTCAGTTGCTAAGGAAATATTTCTTAAGTGAGTTTCCCCCCCATTGTACGACCTTTCTCGCCACAGTTGTTAAGTGAATCACTGCAGGTGTTACATTAGTAACACGGTTGTTAAGTGAATCTGGCTTCCCCGTGGACTTTTCTTGACCGAAGCTCGCAATAGGTGATCCCGTGGTTGTGGGACACAGCAATTGTCGTAAATATGAGTCAGGTTCCAAGCATCTGAATTTTGATCACGTGACCATGGGGAGGCTGTGACAGTCGTAAATGTGAAAAAACATCTTAAGTCACTTTCTTCAGTGCCGTTGTAACTTCAAACAGTCACTAAGCGAACTGTTGTAAGTTGAGGACTAGCTGGACAGCCTTTGGTCTGAAATGGTATAGGGTTTCCTGCCTGAGCAGGGGGTTGGACTAGATGACTTCCAAGGCCCCTTTCAACTTTATTCTTTCTTTCTTTCTTTCTTTCTTTCTTTCTTTCTTTCTTTCTTTCTTTCTTTCTTTCTTTCTTTCTTTCTTTCCATGGACATTTAGTGATGCAGTTTGGGATGAACACCTTTCGAATGGTGCAGGAAGATGAATGGATTTCCAGAAAACATTGCAGACTACAGACAACACAGATGCAGACAACATAGACTCATCCCCAACAGCCTGTGCCCATCTTCAACAGCAAAGGGACACAGGGCAGAAAACATTCTGCAGCCAAGAAGGCTCTACACACACATTTGCACCACTCAGGTGACCCTGAGGACCCAGGTAAACCTCCAAGTGGTCTCAACGACTCTCTAAAAGAATGCAAACGACCAGCTGTCTGCAAGGAGTATAAATCCTTCCATTGCCCCACCATCCAGTCAGAGCTGAAGAACCTTCCTGGATGAGAAGCGAAATGTCTTCAAAGAAAAACAAGAAAGTCCAGTTGCCTCCTGAAAAAAGCACCTTTGGGACTGCCTGTATGAGACTCTTCAAAGTGTAAACTGCCACCCTGCTTGCACACCCAGGTAAATCTCTCCCTTTGGAATTTCAAGAAAGCAGGGAAACAACACACACCTGTTGTCTGACTTGTCCGTCTCCGAGTCGCTGAAACTGCTCTCTTCATTTTCACAGCCACCTATAGAAGAAACAGTTTGCAGAGTCAGTGAGTGGGGTAGCAGAAAAGGACATTTAAGTTTGTAACACAGACAAGCACAGATTATGGACGTTAGAGAAGACCTAAGCATTGCTGTAACGCAGGGGTTCTCGCTGGCTGAGGAATTCTGGGAGTTGAAGTCCACAAGTCTTAAAGTTGCCAAGGTTGAGAACCCCTGCTAACACATCAAGCATTTCTCCTAGTATGGATTGAGGAGGATGGAAGTTGCAGTGTGACACTTCCGGAATGCATCAGGTTAAGGAAGTCTGAATCAAACACAGGCCGTCCTCGACGTACAACCGATTGTGTAGCAACACTGGAATTTACCATGCATTTCCACAGGGATACTTCCACAGAGAAAAGAACATCTTCCTTCCTCTGTCCTGACCACTTTCTACAGGGGGACGATCACAGTCTGGTTTGGAAGCATCACTGCTTCAGACAGGAAGGCGGTGCAGAGAGTGGTGAGGATAGCCGAAAAGATCATTGGCAGCTCCCTTCCACCCATCCAGAACATAGCACAGAAGCGCTGCTTGATCAGGGTCCACAAGATTATCTGGGACACTACTCATCCTTTTCACCTTGTTTTCCTTGTTACCTTCTGGGAGGGGGCTTCGTGGTATCCGAAGCAGAACATCCAGATTCAGCCATAGTTTCATTCCATACAGCATTAACCTTGTGAACTCTCAAGCTTCCTCCTTCCGTTATATATTCAAGATGGACAGTATTTAATATTTATGTGCTAGGTATATGTAGGGGTTTGGGTCTATACATACCCGTAAATGCCGGCGTATAAGGCGACTTCCGCAAGCGTTAAAATCGGCGCCAAAGACGGGGGTCGTCTTATACGCCGAGTCGTCTTGTACGCCGGAAATACTGGTAGTTTCCGGCATATAAGACAACGTTCTAGGAATGCGACTCGGCGACAAAGACGGGGGTCGTCTTATACGCCGGGTCGCCTTGTATGCCAGCATATACGGTATGTTGTACATAGTATGCTTAGGTGTGCGTCATGTATGTGTTTCACTTTGAGAGCGGGCAACTAAATTTCATTTTTGATGTGTGCCGTTGGGCCCACAGTAAAAAAATGACAATAAAGGTTATCTTATCTCTTATCTTGTCTACTTACGACCCATTTCTAAAATTCCAATGGCTGCCTGTCTCCCCAGCATGTAAATGTAGTTTGGGTGTTCAGCAACTGGCTTGCACTGACAGCCATTTGAAGAGTCTCATGGTCATATGACCACTTTACAATGTTTTCGCTGAAAACCGGTATTTACTTGCGACCGTAAGAGGCAGGCTCCATTACGGTCATAAGTCGAGGTCTACGTGCAACTCGAAATAAATGAGCCAAGCCACATTCTCAGCAGGAGAGGGAACAGAGAGTGACCCTCATAAGTCGAGGTCTACGTGCAACTCGAAATAAATGAGCCAAGCCACATTCTCAGCAGGAGAAGTAACAGAGAGTGACCCTCTCCAATCGGATCAGAGATAGTATCTTTCCTGAAGGTCTAAGTAAATAAAACCTTTGCACTGTAACAATACGTCAAATGTTTTGAGTCAAAACACTGTTTTATTTTCAGTGCACAGCTTCTAGTGCACAGCAGCTACTGAGAGAGAAATGAGACGTTGGGAAGACCCCAAAGGGTTTCGAGCAGAAAAATTGAGCTGCTGCATGTGGAAAAAAAATTCAAACTTTGTACTTTCTGAACTGAAAGGTCTCTTGTGTTCCTTGCCCTCCCCAAGCAAAAATACCCCCTCCAGTTTTGGGATCTTGCCTCTCCAGGCAGCCCTTAGCTAAGAAAAACTTGATAGTGGGTGACAACATAATATCCCTTTTCCCCGTCTTTAGACCACAAAATTATTCACTTTCAACTATGTTAAGATGTGTGGACTTCAATTTTCAGAATCCCACAACTAGGAAGCACAAAGTTTTTCAGTTTCAACCACATTAATATGTATGGATTTCAGCTCTCAGAATTCCAAGCCATTTACCACAAAGTTTATCATTTTCAACTACATTAAGATGTGTGAACTTCAACTCCCAGAATTCCACAATCAGTTAGCACAAAGTTTCTCATTTTCAACTACATTAAGATGTGTGGACTTCAACTCCCAGAATTCCAAGCCAGCTACCACAAAGTTCCTCAGTTTCAATTATGTTAAGATGTGTGGACTTCAACTCCCAGAATTCCACAGCCAGCAAAACTGGCTGGGCGAATTCTGGGAATTGAAGTCCACACATATTAAAATAATTGAGGTTGGGAGATACAGTTGTACCCCAAAGGGGTCAAAAAAGTACCTTGAAAAGGGCTGTCATCCAGAGGTGAACTTTCCAGAGGTGGCGGTGGCTGAGTTGGCGGAGGAGGGAGACCTTGGGGCAGCAGGGGAGGGGGCTGGGAGGGCAGAGGGGGGGCTGAGCACATCTGGGAGCGAGTCTGAGAAATGGGGAGGGGCGGAGGGGTCTGAGAATTGGGGGGAGGTGGGGGTGGCTGGGTGGGGGGAGGCAACATGAGAAAGCCTTCCCCAACAGCAAAAGGGGAGACTCGGCCAGGAAGGTGGTTCATCTCAAGCGGGTATTGGAGGGAACTCCGACGAGCCGAGGGTCCCAAGGAGCTGCGAGGCGGTTTCACGGGGGCTTTCGGTGGGATGGCCGGAGGTAGGAGCTCGCCATCCAGAGAGAGAGAGCCACCTCCCTTGTTGCGACGGGGCGGCTTGGGCATCAACGGCGGGCAGCGTAGGGGAAGGGGCTCAGCTGTGGAACGGTAACTTGTCAGGACGACACCCCCTTCGGGATGCCCGTTGGTGGACGGCGGGGAGTCAACAGGCTTTTTGCTTCGGGACAAGCGGCGAGATTTCGGGACCCTGCCCGCTGCAATGGAGGAAGGCTGGGTAGGCGGTGCACCGAGTCCCAGGAATTTTTGGAAGGAGCCCCCCCCTTCATCGGCAGAGGATGATACGTCTGAGGCCAGCCCGTTCTCCATATCCCCCTCCTGCAGCCGGGACGTTGCAGGGACCCAAACCAAGACCATCCCTGGGTTTTGTTGATGGCAAACACAGGGGCAGCCGGACAGGCAGGAAGTGGGCAAATCCAGCCCGTTCTGCTCCACCATCGACAATACGGATGGCTGGGTATCCTTGCAGGGATCTGAGGAAGCAGAGGAAGAGAGATAATTTTTATCTGATTTCTTTCTTTCTTTATATCCCACTTTTCCTGCTTTTACAAATAAGGCAGCACACCTTCCTCCTCCTATTTTCCCCACAACAACAACCCTGAGAGGTGGGTTGGGCTGAGACAAAGACTGACTAGCCCAAAATTAACCAGCTGCCTTTTGTGCCTAGAACGGGATTAGAATTCACAAACTCCTGCTGATTGGCCTAAGGTCATCCAGCCAGATTTCATGCCTAAGGCGGGACGAGAACTCCCAGCCTCCTGGTGATTGGTCCAAAGTCACCCAGCTAGCTTTTGTGTACAAGGCAGGACTAGAATTCGCAGCCTTCTGGTGATTGGCCTAAGGTCACCCAGCCGGCTTTCATGTCTAAGGCGGGACGAGAACTCCCAGCCTTCTGGTAATTGGTCCAAAGTCACCCAGCTGGTTTTTGTGCATAGGGCCAAACTAGAACTCACAGTCACCTAGTGAATGGCCTAAGGTCACCCAGCTGGCTTTCATACCTAAAGCGAGACTAAAACTCACAGCCTCCTGATGATTGGTCCAAAGTCACCCAGCCAGCTTTTGTGCATAGGGCCAAACTAGAACTCACAGTTGCCTAGTGAATGGCCCAAGGTCACTCAGACGGCTTTCATGCCTAAGGCGGGACAAGAACTCCCAGCCTACTGGCGATTGATCCAAAGTCACCCAGCAGCTTTTGTGCACAGGGCAGGACTAGAACTCACAATCTCCTGGTGACCAGCTTAACGTCACCCAGCTGGCTTACATGGTTAAGGTAGGACTTGAACTCACAATCTCTTGCTTTCTAGCCTGGTGCCTTAACCATTAGACCACACTGTCTACTGAATGAAGGAGAAGAAAAGGGGAAGAAAACTTCTGATTCATGGCAGGTAAAAACACAGGACGGGGAAGCATTTCATGAAATCCCCCCCCCCCCCGTTTACAGATTCAAGCAACTCCCAAAATTTTAATTGTATTTGCGATGTTGTTTCTAGCCTGGATGGAATCAAGATGAGACTCAGAAATGTGCTGTGTGTTTCTACTTCACTGATGGAAACCCAAAGTGGGCAGAACTGAACAACTCGGCTGTCTTGCAAACTGCTGAGGACGACGAAGATGGATTTTATGCAAATCTCCGGGCTCGCATTCATTTGCAGCATTTATTTCCAATTTAGCTAGTGATTTTCTCCAACAGTTGACTTACCGTTTTTTAGAACTGAAATCTAATTGCTCCAGGCTGGACTCCAGATTCAAAGATGCTCAGGATCTGCCCAGCAAGCAGGTCTGACACCATCTTTAAAAGGGCTGGACTAGGAGTGGGGAGAGTTCTGAGTTCTAATCCTGCCTCGAAAGCCAGATGGGTGGCTTTGGGCCAGATCTAAGGGGAATCTAGTTGCCAAAATGCTGTCCAGAAACCTGCATGGAGCCATCCAAAGGATCATGGCAAAGTCTACTTTCGGCACCCCAATCAAAGCTGGCCCACTTACCCAACCCATCCTGGACCTCTTTTTCTTTAATGGCCTTCTCTTCCTGGTTCTCATCCTGCTGGCAGCTGGAAGGCGGCGATCGGACCATTTTTTCGGCTTCTTCCTTCTCTGGAGGTCCCGCTCGATCGAAGTGTACCACGATCTTGCGAACGGCACCAGATTTCTGCAGCTTGTCCAAGGGCTGAGGTGGGCCACCTGGCACTTCGGTGACCTGAGAGCACTCATCCTTCTCCAGCGGCAAAGGCGGGGTAGGGACCCGGAGCAGCTTAGTGGAGTCTGGCCTGGGGGGCAGGTAGGGGCGTGGCCTGGTGGGTGGGCGAGGCTTGATGATGCGAGTGGGTTTCTGGGAGGGAGGCGTGGCGGGAGGGAGGGGGTCTAAGGAGGACATCTTCACTCCAGGGAGGTCATCTGCAACAGTTCCCCTGTGGCTTCATTTCCTGCAGAAGAAGAGAAAATGGAGATAGCCTTCATTGAATCTATGCGCTGCGCCACGAGGGAGGGAGGGAGGGAGGTGTATTTTATGCCATTTGAGCCTTGAGCCCAAAAGCATAAAAAGGCCCAAAGGCAACAGGACTTTCTTGTTTTTCCTTGAAAACATTTCTTCAAAGAAGTCAGCAAGGAATATGAATCCTTCCATTGCCCCACCATCCGGTCAGAGCTGAAGAAGCTTCTTGGATGACAAGCGAAACGTCTTCCAGGAAAAACAAGAAAGTCCAGTTGGGTCCTGAAAAAAGCACCTTTGGGACAGCCACAACCTGGATGACTGAGAATCTCCATAGACCTCTAGCTATGCCAGGGGTGGCAAACCTATGGCACGCGTGCCAGAGGCGGCATGCAGAGCCCTCTCTGTGGGCACGCGCCACCGCCCCAGCACACGTGGTCTCTAAAAGTTCGCCATCACTGGCCTAAGGACAGCCAGCCTGGAGCCGCCATTGGGGAGCCCACCATCCCACCCGCCAGAGACCCCCTGGAGCTCTCCCAATCCTGCCCAGCTCCCACAGGTGTCCCTCCCCATAAGCAACATCAAGGTGGCCATGCCCACCCAATCTGCCATGACTACTGCAGCCACACCCATCCTGTGGCCACGCCCACCCAGTCTGCCAAGCCCACTGTAGCTGCGCCCGAGTGGGCCACAAACAAGCAAAGCCCCATCCTTGGGATGCAGGCAGCATACAAAACCACGCACCCTCCAACTCACAGAAAAACCGCTCTCCGCAGAACTGGTCCCTGGTGCCCAAAAGGTTGGGGACCTCTGATCTAAAACAGTGGTTCTTAACCTGGGCGATATTGCCCCCCAGGGAGCAAGAAGTTTTGAGGACACTTTTGAGACTTTTTCGTACAGTGAATCGCTGTATATCTGTCATACAAAAACATCAGATCGCTCGCTATTAGTGGATTGAATTGTGTTTTCAAATGTTCCTCCAGCTAGCTTCAGTACAGAACGCCGTACATATGTGAATACGCATCGCTTATCTTCATGCGCATTGCGCAGCAGCCTCTACCCATACAGTGGCACGCCATTGGCCAGAATATGTGAGATATGGGAAAAAGACTGGAAATAAATTATTTGCATCGATATGTCCTGATGACAATTTTAAAGAAAACAAAAAAAGGGTTTGCATAAATTGAAGAATTATTTCCTATGTTGTGATTGAGAGGTTATGTTGGGGGAGGGGGGCGATGACAACTTCCTCTTTGGCTCAAGGGGGCAATTCGTTCAAAAAGGTTAAGGACCACTGATCTAAAAGAAGACAATTGACCAGCTGTCTGCAAGGAGTATAAATCCTTCCATTCCCTACCATCAAGTCAGAGCCGAAGAAGCTTCTTGGATGAGAAGCGATACGTCTTCAAAAAAAAGCAAGAAAGTCCAGTTTCCTTCTGAAAAAACAGCTTTGGAACAACCATGAGCTGGATGACTGAGAACCTCCATAGATATTTGAGAGCTGTAACATTCCTTGTTGGACCATAAGAAAGGCTGAGCGCAAAAGAATTGAGGCCTTTGAACTGTGGTGCTGGAGAAGACTCCTGCGAGTCCCTTGGACTGCAAGGCGTTCAAACCGGTCAGTCCTATAGGAGATCAACCCCGACTGCTCTTTAGAAGGCCAGATCCTGAAGTTGAAACTCAAATACTTTGGCCACCTAATGAGAAGGAAGGACTCATTGGAGAAGGGCCTAATGCTGGGAAAGATTGAGGGCAATAGAAGAAGGGGACGACAGAGAATGAGATGGCTGGATGGAGTCACTGAAGCAGTAGCTGTGAACTTAAATGGACTCCAGAAGATGGTAGAGGACAGGAAGACCTGGAGGAACGTTGTCCATGGGGTTGTGATGGGTCGGACATGACTTCGCAATTAACAACAACAACAACAACAACATTCCTTGTAATATTCATATTACATCTATACAGGGAGTCCTTGACTTATGACTAAGAGTGGAGCCAAAGTTTCCATTGCTGAGCAAGGCAACTGTTAAGTGAGTTGTGCCACATTTTACGACCGTTTTTTGCCATAGTTGTTAAGCAAATCAATGCAGTTGTTAAGGAAATCATGTGATCATTAAGCAAACCTGACTTGCTTGTCAGAAGCTGGCTGGGAAGGTTCACAAATGGCGAGCACATGATCACATGGTCATAAATACATGCCAGTAGCCAAGTGCCCAAATCTGATCTCATGGCCCTGGGGATGCTGCAACGGTCATAACTGTGAGGACCGGTCGTAAGTCACTTTTTTCAGTGCTGTTGTAACATCAGTTGTTTAATGAATGGTGAATAGTCCAGGACTACCTGTATCTCCACTGTTGTTTTCCCCAGCACACTAACCCTGTGAGGTGGGAAGGGTGGAGGGGGAAGGAGAGATTGGCTCAAAGTCGGAGTTTGCAAACTTTAGGGTGGATTTGAACCTTAAGCTGTTTCTAGTTTTGGCCCAACACTTTTCATTCCATTCGGTGCTGGACTTACACATCCCACGTTGTGACTTGCAGGCAAATTCTCCCGCCCTTTTTCCTTGGAGAAGCTAAACACAGAATCCTACATTTTTTATGTTGTACAATCTACAATCTTTCATCGGCTTCTTGCAAGCCAAGGCAGAGAAATCTCAGCTGCTGGCTGCAATGCAAGTCAGAGGGATTAGATCTACAGTCTGCCAAGCAAAAATGTCTTGTAAAGACTAGCTGGAACGGGATTTCAAGAAGGCATAATAAATTCATCTGCAAATCCCTGACAGGGTTCGCCCGTGCACGATCCTCCCGATTCATCACTTGGAATGGATTTCTGCAATCTCATTCATTTCTGCCCTGCTTACTGGCAGCACATCCTGCTCTCTGGTTAACTGGTTCTCCCATCTCCTATCAGACTTTCCCAGGGTGTGGTTCTCACACGCCCATCCAGCTGGGAAAAAACAGCGTTCAGCCTGATCAGGGCCTGTGCGAGAAGCTGGGAAACGAAATGAAAAGCAAATCCAAACAGCAGCGTCTTTCATGCACTGGAATGAATGTCACCTGCTGCCGAGGATCTTTTGAAAATAACCTTCAGGTTTCTAGCCCTCAAGGAATCCTGTCAGAAAAAAATTAAAAACCTAGTAGGAAGTTTCAAGATTTAGGAACAGGCTGGGCAAACCTGTCTCCCGACAATCGGGAACGAATGGAGAAAAAGCAAGAGTGTAATTGCACCCTACTATTTTTAATAATAATTCTAACAATGCTACAGCAATGCAACGGACTCAAGAGATTCCCTCAAGAAATACAGTACAGGTAGTCCTCTACTTATGACCACAATGGAGTCCAGAACTTCTGTTGCTAAGCAAGGTAGTTCTTAAATGAGCTATGCCCAATTTTATGAAATTTTTGCTGCATTCCTTAAGGAAATCACCACAGCCATTAAGTGAAGCGCAAAGTTGTTAATTGAAGCTGGCTTCCCCCATTGATTTTGTCAGAAGCTGGCTAGGAAACTCACAAATGGCAATCAAGTGACCTCAGGACATTGCAAAAGTCCTGCCAGTTGCCAAGCCTCTTAATTTTGATCATGTGACCGTGGGTACACTGCAATGGTCACAAGCGCAAGGACATTGTAAGTCCCTTTTTTCAGTGCTGATGTCATTTCAAATGGTCACTAATTGAATGGCTGTAAGTCAAGAAACTAGAACAGAGGTAGGCAACCTTGGCTCTTTTATAACTCGTGGACTTCAACTCCCAGAATTCCTAAGCCAGCATGGCTCAGCTTGGAAACCTCTCCCTTTCCCCTCAGCCTGGCTGGCTCAGGAATTCTGGGAGTTGAAGTCCACGAGTCATAAAAGAGCCAAGGTAGCCTACCCCTGCACTAGAAGAAACTACATGTAGTCCTCGACTTACAATAGTTCGCTTAGTGACTTTTCAAAGTTAATACGTCACTGAAAAAAGTCACTTATGACCGGTTTTCACACTTACAACCATTGCAGCATCCCCATGGTCACATGATCAAAATTCGGATACTTGGCAACTGGCATATACTTATGGCTGTTGCACTATGCCGGGGCCATGTGATCCCCATTTGTAACCTTCCCAGCTGTCTTCCGACAATCAAACTCAAGGGGGGGGGGGAGAGCAGGTTTTCTTAACAACAATATAATTCCCTTAACCATTGCAATGATTTACTTAACAACTATGGCAAAAAAGTTCATAAAATGGGGGGGCAACTCACTTAACCACTGCCTTGCTTAGCAGTGGAAATTTTGGCCTCCATTGCGGTCATACGTCGAGGACTATCTGTACACAACCCTGTACAGGTAGTCCTTGACTTACAACACTTCATTTAGTGACTGTTCAAAGTCACAATAGCACTGAAAAAAGTGACATGACTGTTTTTCACGCTTACGACCGTTGCAACATCCCCACAGTCATGTGATCAAAATTCGGACACTTGGCAACTAACTCACATTTATAACCATTGTTGTGTCCCGGGGTCATGTGATCCCCTTTTGTGAGCTTCTGACAAGCAAAGTCGATGGGAAAACCAGATTCACTTAACAACCGTGTTACTAATTCAACAACTGCAGCAATTCCCGCCACCACGGTAGCAAGAAATGGAGCAAAGTTCACGTAACAAACAGAGGCAACAGAAATTTTGGGCTGAATTGTGGTTGCTGTATTGCAGGGGTGTCAAACTCAATTTCATTGAGGGCCACATCAGCATTGCGGTTGCCTTGGGGGGGGGGGGGTGAATGGATGTGGCCAGGGTGGGTGTGGCCTACTGGGTGG